AAGAATACTCTGCCGACAATCCAGCACCTGTCAATTCATGGGAAAAGAGACGGTAGCCACGATCACCAAGCGTCATTAGCAGGCCGACCACTTTTGGGGGCAGACCGTGCAGTTCGATGAGGATCTGAAATGATATTTGAATTCCAGTGAGAATACCGACTGTCGAAATGCCGAAAGCCAAAATACCGACAGTGAAAATACCGACAGCCAAATTCGCAAAAGCTAAACCCCGAAATCCTGAAACCCTAAGTTAGAATAACAGCCAAAAACTCAACATCCAAACGACCGACAATTAAAATAAAACCCAAAAGTCAAAATAGCGACAGTCAAAAAGCCTCAATCTAAAATCCCGACAGCTATGATGGACATATAAAACCGCGACCGTTAAAATCACGACATTCAAAATCCCGACTGTTGAAATATCGAAATTGAAGGTCATAACGGTCAAAATCCCGACACACAAAATCCCGACATTACGCGTTGTTTGTCCGACCTTTTGTCCGACTTTTGGGCCAGACTCACCGCCGATACTACCTTACCCATTTTCATGCCTAGTTTTTTTTTAAACATATTTTAACCTTTTATTCCAGTTTTATTACTATTCTTGAATTTAACGCAAGAATGAAAATTTATAAGTTTGAAACTACCTCCGTGTTTTGCGATTTTGCCTTTTACTATGCGCCAGGAATTAGTGTTTCATGAAAAATCCTTAAAACGGCTGTTTCTTGAGGCGACAATTTCCGTACTACGTTAGAGTCCAAGATCAAATAACAAACGAACAAAAATAATTAAGCCGAATAGATAGTTAAATTCGGAATTTTCAATTTTTTTCGTTCAATTTTTTGTTTGTTGTTAGACTCTGATTTTCGGAAAATTTCTACCCCGGTATCGACGGCCAAATTCTACGGTTCCTCGCGAGGAAAAAGTGTTTCGGAGACGTAAGTGGGTCCGGAATGAAAAAGGATATCAATTCCGAAGCGTAGTCTTTTGTTTCTTCTTTGCCGTTTCCTCGTCACCGAAATTTTTTTGTCAGTTAATTTCATTGATTCTATCCTTTGCGAGTCGTTGGTATCCGCTGAAATACCCCCCGATAAGCGCCAAGCACCAAGTTTTAAAGAGGGCTCGTGAGGAAAGAGGCACAATGTTGCTCGTCTTTTAAATGTCAACAAAGCCGGGGTAATCTGTTACCCGATGGAAATGCGCGCCGCTGCGTTGCGCGTCGCGGTGCGGCCAAATCCATGGGTCCTTACCCTTCCTTACCAGTCCCTTTAAAATAAAAATTGCCTAACCTGACAAATCCTAATTCTTTCGACGAGCGGGGGCAACACTTGGAATTCGGCCCCTAAATTGTGTAATGCGATAATCGTCCAAAAATCGTCAAACTATTCCTACTTAATAAATTTGTAAAGTTAAAATTTTCGAAACATCTTTTCAAAACTGTTGATAAACCGATAGAAATAGAAAGGGGGCGAGCAAAAAATAGAAATTGTTCCTAATCAGCACATTTTTGCCGTGAAACTTTTTGAAACATCATACTCACACAAAATTTGCTAAAATTGACGATCAAAAATTCCTACCTTCAATGTCCATTTTCAGGACCTCAATCTGCCCATGGTGATGCCGTTTCATCTCGTTTTCCAGGGATACCGTGTTCTAAAAATAATGATAACAATGATAAGCAAAACTTCGAACCTAGAAAAATTTTCGCTTTTCGAAAAAATGTTCGGCCTACCACAAAAGGAAAAAAAATTATTTTGTATCCCTAACCCACTCGATATCGAAGTTTTTAAAACACGGAATTTTTCAAAAATCTTGCCTTTTAAAAGTCCTGCTTTTTATTTTTTCGAATCCTTTTAGATGCATGAAAATTTTTTGAAAATTGTACTGTGCTTTCTTTTCTAAACGCTTTTGGCCTTCGAGTCTTTTTTTTTAATTTTATTAAATCTCTGATAGTCGATAGATTTACCAAAATGAACTGTTTCACCAATGGGTCGCTTAATACAATAATATCTATCGTCAATCAAATCATGTTTTCGTCTCACTGCAAAAAGCAGCCCAGATAAAAGAATTTTGGCTCTGGTGTGTTAGCGGGGGGGGGGGGAGAGGATCCAGGAAACGGCCGTCTCCCTTTCCGTTCCGGATCGGGGGTTTTCGGTTGGGAGCCATATCCCCCCCGCTAATGCACCAGAACCAGAATGTGCCAAAACGTTCTTGCTACCCCTTTTTGCGGTTTTTGGCACTATTCTTGAGCGCTAGTCCTATTCTTAATTTTAAAATCGAACTTCTTTATTGCGATGTTTCAAAACCCCAATAACTTATTTCTTTAAATTAATTTAACTGAATTCACCTCAACCTTCGAATCCCGGAGCCCGATTTTCGCCTCTCGAAAGTGGATATCGAGCTTTTCCAGGCCCTCCAGAACTTCCGGGAACATTGGACGCTTCTGAAAAAAGGCTGAAATTTTTGAGATCTACATGACGAGGTACTGAAATTAATTAGCTTCGCGATAGTTTTCTTTACTTGAAACATTTGTTTTAACACTTAAATCGGGTGTGAAAAGCTCAGAAGTATTGGAATTATCTGATCTTTGCGATAGTCCTACTGGATTACAAAATTATTTTGGAAACCGAATCGCACCATATCGTACGCATAAATACGGCATTGCTGCGCGGAAATTCTTTGAAAATCCCGCTCAAATGTCGTATCGTTGTCGATACCTAAAGCTTGTAAGTATACTTTTATACCTTCTCGATTTTTATAGCTTTAATGTTATAAATTTTATATTTTATTTAAAAAACCAAATTACCTAGCGAATAGACGGCGCAATTTTTGGGCACGGCCCAAGGGCGGCAAGCCCATTTCCCACCATCCAGTATCTGACCGACCCGAACGGCTGAGGGGCAGAATACCTAAAAAAATATTTTCATTTTCTCTTTTATTTAATGTAAATGAATTAGAATAAAAACACCGACCAAAACACAGAATTTCAAAATTTTTTAACCAAAAATCGAAAAAGAATTGTCAATTTTTAAAAAATAGAAGAAAAATCTGGGATTCGATGCTAAAAGGACAAACCACAAAGCTAGAAAAAACACCTCGGGCACCAAAATGTTGTAGAGCACCGGGAATTCCTCGTCGGCTGAGACCTTTTGCTCGTAGAGTAGGCTAAAAGCTTGTTTCAACGGAATTGGCAAGGTTAGATTTTTATGGATTTTCCGCGCCGCGACACGCGACGTAAATCCCTTGCGGACCCATTCATGCGTCTTGATATTTTTAAAGCCGATTGGCTCCAAAAAAGTATCTTGAGTCTAACGTCCCGTAAAAATTATAAGTTTCAAAAAAATACCCCAGTTAATCTGAAAAATTTTCAGTTATCGAATAAATTAAACTCTTGTTTATGGTCTAGCAAATTTTAATTACTTTTGAAGTTTTGCTAGGTTTTAACAGTATTTTCCAAATTCTATATGTACCAGGGTTGAAAAGCCGCTTCGCAACTTTTCAACCCTGGCCCCGTTTCGACAAATGAAATTGTAAAATTTGCATAATTGCGCCTCAATCAAGCTGAAAAAAATGAAAAGATTTTGTTCCATCCCTTTATATAGGCTTCTTCTACTTCCGGTATATGCTAATTGTTTCCTAACAAAGAGAGTTCCCGAAAATTTTAGAAAAACTTATTTTTACTATCAAAAATAGCTTATTTTGATAACTTTGAAAAGTGTGCAATCATCGCAGAGCCATTACGCACCTAATGATGTATCATACGTACCCTAAAACTCATCCCCTATTGAGTTATCCTCCGGACATACAGACGGAAGTTGCATGCAAATCGACACACACACACAGACACTATTTTTTTTATATATAGTAGGATATAGTAGGATGCTTCAATTCTGCTGGATTTAACAAAGCTAAATTAACGAAATTCCTAAAAGAACTCTAAAACGTTATGATAGAATTCGAAGAGTTAACGCTTATCTCACCGAAAAGCGTCGACCCGCGCTTCCATAGATTTTTGATAATATCCAGCCACGCGCTCACCGTCCTCATTGACAAAATCTAACCTCCATTATGAGTTAAGTTTGGCAAAATCCCACCAGGCCTTTCCAAAAATACCAACAGCAATATAAAAATCAAAACTAAAACCACAAAACAGGATAGATTGGCCCGAGAAAGGCGCAGGGTGGCCAAGTTCATTCCAGGAATTTGGTGATCGAGAAGCGCTTCTTATCACCAATTCAGGGGCATGGGACGTGTGGCCTTCTTGTTGCACTGGTCGCAGGAAACGAGAACAAGTACCACATTGCCGTAAAAAAACGGTAAAACGATTATTGTGATCTAAAGACCTCAAAGTTGTATCAGATCATGAAACATTTGTTTTTGTTTCTTTTCTTGTTCTTGGTAAACGCAAAACTGCAAATAAACTGCAAATTTTTGTTGCAAAAAAAATTCAAAAACATCGATTTTTCCGGCCAAAATTTCAAATTTCTAGGATGTTTCGAAATTTTCTAAGCAGTTTTCGCGTTGCTATACGTCAATTTTGTTACAAATACTATTCAAATACTTGTCAATTACTTTTTTAGGCATATAAGGAGTTAAAAAACGTTAAATTTGGCAACTTAGAAAATTGGGATCTCACCAAAGGCATGCTTGTAATGCTGCTCTTTTTCTTTTGCTGCTCTTTCAAAGCTCTTATGGATATTTTTTTTTCTTGCTTCGATTCTTTCTTTCCATCGACTTCATTTTCTCACCTTCGAACCCTTTACGGCCCCCTTCACTTTGACGACACGACAGGAAAGTTTGAAAGCGCCGCCTTTTCCGCTCTCTTTGCCCCCTTTCCTTACCTCACCGTTTTACATTAAACTTACGTTTTTTAAATACAAACTGGCATTTTAAAAACGAACAAAAGGCGAAATTGTATATAATGAATCACTTTTGAGCCTCATACTTTCATTTTTTTTTGTTTTCAAAGCTAAGAATGTTTTGTTTGTTTCAGGGCATGCATGAAGCGGCCGAGGCGCAGTTCCCCGCGATTTTCCAACGATTTCGAGGTAATTTCTGTAAATTCTAATGTTTTAAGCTCAGACTCAGCTCCCAAAATCGCCAAAATGCAAGAAGCGCAAGAGTAGCCTGGATCTCTTCGAATCGTCGCTGGATGCTAGCGCTTTGAGCGAAGTGCCGGATCGCAGACGCTCGATTCAGGTTTTTAAATGTGTAAAATCTCGTCAAACCCTTTCGTTTAGGTGGCAAAACACCGCAATTCCTTCGATCTCTATGATGACAGCCCGGGAAGTCGGCCAATTGCTTCGAGACTGCGCTCGATGGTAACTTATGATCCCCGCGCGCAAGTTATTTTATTTCAGGAAAGTCAACTACCACTGCAAAACGCAGCCCCGGCCCTTTACGATTCGTTCGACGACAGTTTTGTCAGTCCCATCATCGCAAAGAAGGTACTAGGTTGGCGTTTTGACGTCGTATTTTTTTTTCAGGCGTCTCAAGGCAGCCAACTCTACGATTCCTTCGATGACAGTATCGCCAGTTCAAAACCGGCAACACCTTTTAGCAAAACAGTAGAAGAAAAGGTGCAAAATTCTTTGGGAAATGTTTATTCAAATTTGTTTTCAGAAAATCGAACCAACGCCGATCCGTCGTCCTCCACGTCGAGATTCGTACGATTCTTTCGATGACAGCATCTGTGCCTTGAAGCCGACGCCGCCAAGAAGCGAGGCAGTGATACCAGAAACGCAGGTAAGTTATTTAGTTTAGTTCTTTATTTGAACTTTCAGAAAATCGAGCCAACTGCACGCCCACCTCATATACGCCGAGATTCGTACGATTCGTTCGACGACGGCATACGCAGTGAAAAACCATCTACATCGACAAGAAACGCAGAAGAAATTGTATGACAGCTTCAATTTTCTAGTTCTAATCTGAAATTTTAGAAAATTGACCGAATGTCTGTAAGTCATCGGGAGCGCCGCGAATCGTCCGATTCTTTTGATGACAGCATCTGCGAAATCAAACCCTCTACATCGACTGCAAAAGAAGGATTAGAAACGGTATAATGGCTCTTTAAAACGGTTTATTTGTGCTAAGCTTGCAGAAGCTCGATTCGACGCCAACGGGCCGATCCAGCAAACGTGTTTGGTACGATTCTTTTGATGACAGCCCTTGCGATCTAAAGCCTTCTACGTCGGCCACAGCAAATGAAGTAGAAACGGTAACAGCCATTCTTTTTTATTAGAAAATCTAAATTCCAGAAGATTGAGTCGACGTCAGTCGTCCAACCTATACGCCGTGATTCCTACGATTCTTTTGATGACAGCTTCTGCAACTCGAGGCCAACTACAGAACTAGGCGCAGAAACGGTATAAAAAGCTCCGATTTTTTGATGAAATCTAGATTTTTAGAAAATCGAGCCAACACCTTTTCGTCGTTCGCTACGCCGCCGCGATTCTTTTGACGATAGCGTATATTGCCCGGCAGCCACACCGTCATCAGGAATCGCAGCTCAGGAAATTGTATAAAATTGGGTATTGTAGTATAACGTCGATTTTTAGAAAATCGGACCAACACCAGTACGCCGACCCCCACGGCGCGATTCCTACGATTCATTTGATGATAGCGTCTGCTATCCAAGCCCGCAGCCGTTGGCTGTAAAGGCCGAAGAAAAGGTACAAAATCCCGTTTTCTATGCATTGATTATTGTGATCAAGGAAAACGTCACACCGGTACCACCAAAAATCGCTGAATACGCCAACGATTTCGATCCAAAACCTTCAACTTCATCTGCTGCATTTCGAAAAGAAGCCGCAGAAACTATCAAGAACTCTCCGCCTTCCGAAGACGCTTCAACAGCTAAAAGGGTAACGCCAGAGCGCTTTTTTCAAATCTTTATTCAGACTCCAAAAAGACGACGCTCCTCCTACTGCGCCGTTTATGAATACTTCTCGAAACAGCAACCGGCCTTGGAGCGGAAGAACGAATTGGCAAAGACACTACCCGATGCTCGCGTTTTTACGGAGCAATTGCCCAATAATGGTAAGGTGGAAATAAAAAACATAAAAAATTTTGAAAATAAAAGATATTTTGCGCTCGCACGCATGGATAAAAGAATTAAAAAAGCCCCATTTGGTTCGTGAATATGCTGATTTTCAATTTCCTCGGCTTCCAAAAAAAAAAGCTTTTTCAGCGCACCGCTACATCGCCACGACGGTCGCCCGATTTTGGCGCAACTATGAGGCCCAGCTAACGGGAAAGCGCCACTTTTTCGAGCTAATCGAGGACGGGATGCCGTGCCGACTGTATTTTGACTTGGAGTACGACAAGCCGGCGAATCCGGGTCAGATTTTGAAAAGAAGTGGATTTTTTGGAGTCTTAGGATAACGTTTTAGCTTTCTTAATCATTGAGGTTATTTTATTAATTTTTAACTTTCTTGCATAATTTTTTCAGAAAGCATTTTTTGGGAATTCATATTTTCAAACTTCTCGTTCTTGCCGCTTGCGGATTTTTGCAAAATTAATTTTTCAGTAGCTGGCGGCAAAAATGTCGCTTTCGAAATTCTGGTTTTTTCGACAATTCTTTTAGAAATTACCTTTAGAAAAACTGGGAAAAAATGAGTTTTCAGAATTATGTACGGAAGTGTGAAATATCAACTACTCCAAAAAACTCTCAATTTAGGCCTCGACGCTTCGACCGTCTACATGCATTTTATCAACACAACCATCCGACTGATCCACGAAATCTTTGACATGAAATTGACTCGAAAGGTATGAGCTTTTTAAAATAATAATACATTAATCCTTATTTCTAGAACTTCCTTGCACTGGACTCGACGACTGACAGCAAATACTCGTGCCATGTGATTGTCCATCTGCCAGGTAGCCTTGGATTTCAAGGAGGATCAAAGTTTTTCAGGCGATCATCTTTTCCCGGGCGGCAGCTCAATTCGCTTTTTCACCGACCGGCTGGCCAAGGCGCTGATGGACAGGGCACCGCAGAAGATTCTGAACCGAACCGGGAATCAAGTGGTAAGGATATATAAATCGTCTGAGAATTCTACGTTCCAATTTATAGCATTGAGAATTCATCGAGTCTTTACTAAATCGAACCATTCTGCTTTTTTGGCACCAACTGCTAAATTGCGTAATCCAGAGTTTATAACTTTTTTTCAATCAGATTTTTGTTTAAAAATTGTCAGCTTAACAGGATTTTGATTTTTAAATGTGAACGAATTTTAGAATTTAAAATTTCTGTGTTTCTTGTGATCGGATGGCGAGTTTCTCAAGGTTTTACGCAACTGGACCGACTCTGTGGTTTCCACAAAGCTTAAACTTTGTCAAATTGTCATCATTTTCAATTGTAATCGCATCGCCCCGATTAACCCATTTTCCAGGTGCTCTTCGACCCGGCCGTCTACTCAAAAAATCGCCTCTTCCGCCTGCTCGGCTCCTCGAAAGTCGGGAAAGACGCCGTCTTGAAGCGCGCTACGTGCTGTACTTTTTACGGTACGCTTAATTTCGATATTCCTACTTTTGTATTGCTTTAGGAGACGAATCCCCTTCGGAAGAGCGGCTTTTCCTTGATTCACTATGCGTGCCAGCTGAGCCAGTCGATGAATCGAAAGTGATCGATGTCGTCGAGATTTGCCTGTCCAAACCTCGGTCAGTTTTGTAAAACTCAATTAGTAACTGGTTTTTAGGCGCGCCCCCTATGCGCAGCGACAATTGCAATTTCGGGGCCAGGGTATGGTTCGTTTCGTTACTTAGACAATGTTTAGGCACGCAACCGGCTTACGGTAAAACGCCGTTCCCTGAGCTCGAGCAGTACTTGAAGGACATCTTCTGGAAGTGGAAGCAGGACGTGCAATTCCGGTATTTACAATTTTAAAAAGCGTTTGAAAAAGCCGAAATTTTGGTTAAAAAAATCGATGGTTGATGTTTTTTAATGAAATTTTTTAAAGTTTTGACGTTCAGGCACGTAAAAAACCGTTTAGAAACACTTCCACTTGCTATATTTGAAAAATTAGATATAAGAGAAAAATTTGGTCCAAAAGACTAGAACTGGCAAAAACTTCCGATTTTTATGGTGTTCTAAAAAGTTTTTCTATCGTTGTAATTATATGAAACTTCTAAAAAAGCTATAAAAATATGTTCTAATTTATTACTAGACAGATCTCAGCTAAATTAAACAATTCCTTATCCGATAAAAGGTTGGTAATTCATTTAGACAATGGCTACTGACGCCCGGAGCTGATGGCACGCCCACATCGATCACCTTTCATGTAGGGGATCTACAAAAAGCATGGTGTTATGTTTTTTAGCCGTCAAACTGCCGATACTGCTTCCGCATCAGCCGCCAGCACAAGAGCAATGGCGTCTACTGGACGGTCCATTTTAAAACGTACGTTTATTGGCATTCTCCAGACCCCGAAATTTCAGGATGTCAATCTACCAGCGGTGCTTCGACCCGGACTGCGCCGGCTTTGAGAGCAACCACTTTCCGATACCCCCATCCTTGCAGGAAAAGCTCCGCCACCAAGGTTATAAGATTTTCTAGAAAGCAAAACTTCTTTTAGTCGCGGCCCTCGGCAGCAGATAATCAAAGGAAAACCAACGACACGCAAATTACTTACTAATTACATTTTACTTTGAACGAATAAATGTTACATTCAAAGTCTATTTCTCAAAGTTTACACATTTTATGGTTGTAGTACGACACGCCTATCAACGGAATTCGTTTATTTCCGGCGAATGGAATGCGTTTGCTCTTTTTACTTCCGAGAAACTGGCTTTTGCTTTTTCCAGACTGCGCAGAAACGTTTTGAAAATTGTTTACGTTTTTTTGCGCAGAGAATTTGGACGCGCTTCTTACGCGCCCTTGCGCAGCAGTAAACGTGCGGGGCTTCTTACGCGCTATCACACCGCAATTTTGATCATCGACGTTTCTTTCGAGCTCTTTCGCAGCAGGCTAAAGAATAGGGCTTTGTTACGCGCTCCTGCACCGCAGATTTGTGGCCAACGTGTACGCACAATTTTGTCGCAGTTTACAGTAATAGCTCTTTTTGCGCGTTTTGGTGGCAGACTCAACAATCGAGCTCATACACCTTCTCGCGCCTCTTTTTTCATCGTCAAGCCACAAACTTTGCTGACTCCTTGCAATTCTGTCTTCCAAATGTTGTCTTTGCTCTATTGGCTCATTTATACACTTTTTGCAGGCATGAAAATGGCGGGCGAACTGGAAGCTATGGCAAAACACGAAGACAAGGATATACTCAACGGCGCCCCGCTTCAGCACGACGAAGGAGAAGCTCAAGGCGACTCCAATCGGAATTTCATTAACAAGAAGGACATGCCGCTGGCCAACGCTCGCGGACTGGTGGATCTGCCGCCCGAGCTGAAGTTGCTGATCCTCGAGCCACTGGAGTTTGGCACGCTGCTGCAAGTCGAAAAGTGTCACGAATCGTTCGAAACACTCGGCCACCAATTGAAGGTCGATTTCGTTCGCCACGCTCGGAACGCCTTCGAAGTTTCTGAGCACGGCTTGGAGCCGATTTGGAAGATTGATCCGGGCCGCGCACCGGACATGATGTCTCTTATCTCCGGACTCGATCTCAAGTCAATGATGAAGGATATGTATGCAATGTTTGGTGGCGCTCCCCCCAAAGAAGCCGAGGAAAAGGAGGAGGAGCCGAAAGAGCAGCCAGTGCAGCCTATCGACTACGTCATGTCCAACTCGCTGCTTGATGGCCGTCGTGTGGAAGCGGTCCACTACTCCGGCGCCGATCCCGCCCAATACGAATCGGTGCTAGTAAAGGTGATGCCGAAATTCACTTGCGATAACTTCTTCTACATCGACTACGGCAATGATTGCTATCTGGACAAGGAGATACTGCAGAACGTCCTCAAGCCTGAGAATGTCTGGTCGCAGATACTGATGGACTGTCTGTTCGGCGCCGATTTTCCGAAAGGCTCGCTATCGCTCGATATAATTTCGCCGGAACAGCTGAAAAAGATGAAGGAATTCCGCGTGCCGAGGCTCTCCTTTCAGAGCATCGACTGGGCGGAGGACATCCTGGAGCTGTTCACCGCCTATATTGAGGAATGGATGGCTGGCAGCCGCGAGATCGAGACGATCTGGGCGGAGCGCTTCGGAATGGAGGACTTTATGGAGTTTGGGTTTTGCGAGTCCGAGACCGACGTGGCAACGGAGGACGGGCCACTGAAGCTGCACATCGACTTTATGGCGCATTATCCTTCGCTAACGATTGACGAGAAAAAAGTTCTGCGTGGCCAGCTGCAACGCGCCGACGGAAATTTACTGAACATTCGCGCTGATGACGACAGCATCGTTTTGCAGGTGAGTACGGTTCTTTCGCCATATCGGGGGTGAGGATGGGCAGGGACGTAGCGTAAGGTGGGCCCCCTGGGCCCGGTGCCCCGAAATCGGCCGGGGCCCAAAAATTTCATAAGGGGGGACCCTTATGATTTTTATTTTTTCAAAAATTTTGCTGCCTGCGGCGCTATTTTTTCACGTTTTTACTGCTACTTATAGAGCTATGTAGCCTTTTTTCCAAAATTTTTCGCCTGCGGCGCTGTTTTTTCGTTAATTTTTTGAGTTTTCGGAAAAAATTTTTCGGGGCCCCCCCCCGAAATTTTTTTCTGGCTACGCCCCTGAGGATGGGGGAAACTAACCCTTTTTCCTAGGATCTAATTTTTCATATCACAATCGTGGAATTATTTGTAAGCTGTTTTTGATTATTCCTTAACGTGAAGGCTTTGCAAGTTTTTCTTACAGAATATCAAAAATATTTTTCGAGCAGAATTTCGACGTTCTCACAAACTTTTTTAAGGTTTTTGGATAGGTTTTTTTAAATATAGCTATATATTAGGAAAAACTATTCAAACACTTCGTATTAAGTTGCTATAGATTTCCAAACTTATACAAAAAAGTGCAGTCCCCAGCCCCCGATAATGCGATAGAACCGAAAGTATGACCCGGTGCTACCCGGTACTACTTCCGAATACTACGAGATCAGAAAAGGAGAGCATCAGTTTTATTCTCGTGCTCACTCGCAAGTAATACGGGGCGGGTAGCGCGGAATCCTACTTTCAATATCGTTGTTTTTCAGATTCCGGGAGGTTCAAGGCGTTTCCTCGATCGCAACGATACTTACTGCCAGGCGCCCGACTTTTAAGCAACTACCGTTTACGCTGTTTGAACGCGACATTTTAATTCTTGTTAAAACAGTGTTGTACATGATTCTCGTTCGATAAATATTTATTTACAAACGATTTTGGTGTTCTTGTGTTCGCCGATCGGGATGGATTCTCTACGAAATTCCTACTCGATTCTTTCGCATTTGTCGGGGGTGACGGATTTTTGCTTAGATTTTTCAGATATAGATGGCGGAAGTGTTTCTAATTTAGTTTTTTACTATTCCTAAACATCCAAACTTGACAAATTTTTACAAATCTAAGGTCAAATATCTATTTGTCGACCAAAAATGGCCGTTTTTGGCCAAAATTTCGACTTTTTGAAAATTTTGTAGTTCTAGTTGAAATATAGTTTTATTTTCCTAAAGGTCTGTTTAAAATACTTCCTGAGTATTAAGTAACTAGGCGTTTTTAGACTTATGCAAAAAATTTCACCTCCCCCTCCGATAATGCAAAAGAACCTCGTACTTTATTAAACGAATAAAATGACGTTCTCAGGCGGCATTTTCTCTCATCCAAAATTTATTAAAATTTTATTATTGCACAGGAAAGGCACGGAATGCACATCAATATTGATCACAAAGTGGGGGAACATCATCATCGTCCAAATCGTTCTGTTTTCGGCACCAAATTCGACGAGACGACAAACTACGGGACGGCTAGAGGAACAAAAAGGCAAGGGGGGGTGATTCTGAGCGATTTGGGGGATCAAAAAAGTGGTCAAAATTTTCGTAAATACTTAATTTTTATAATTGGCTAAATCAATAATAAATACTAGGTAGCAGGAATAAATTATTAAGCGTTAAATTTAAGTTATATTATGGCCTTGGGGGAAATACATTTGGTGGGAATGGGGGCAAATCCGGGGAATGTCTCGATCATTTTGGGGCGGGCAAAATATAGATATACTCGTGAGATTGCGGAAAGATCGGGGACTTGGGGAATACGGTAGTGGGTACGGTTTAGACTCGAGCGCACGCCTCCTCGCATTGGGCCTTCTTCTCGAATCGATTCGCGTTGCCGCCGCAGCCCTTGTAGAAGTACAGTTTGCACCTGGAAACGGGAGCGCGTTGCATAAGGTATTTGGTTATTACATTAGATTTTTTCAGGAGTAAAATAAAACGAAAAATTAGCTTTATTGATGTAAAATCGTATTAAATCACGTACCGTTTGTCCTTGGGCGAGTAGTAGTAGTGGAGGTTGGTGCGCGGTGCCGGCTCATCTTCGCGGCATATCCGGCCTGAAATTGTGTTTTTTAGGATTGCGTTTCACAGGTATCAGAAGAGCGATTTCATAGTGTTATCGAATTCCAGTAATTATAGCCGGCGAACTAGGTTTTGGGAGCAGTGAATCGGGAAACATAGTTTTAATTACTTTGTGATTCGTTAAAAAATTACAAAAGATGAAAATAATTTTAGAGCCTGACTAGCGCGAATTAAAAAAAATCTCATTTTATTATCGTTATTAAGAATAGGCTTTCCGAGTTATTTTAATTGCTTTTTGTTAAGATTCAAGTTTTGATGAATTCCGTTTTGGCATATCGGAAAGAGCGGGGCATTGAGATGCTCACAGCCGAAGCGCTCACGACGAATTATGGAACATAAAGATTTAAGCCTTGCAAAAATCTCAAGTAATAATTTTTCAGCGGTGTTCAACAAAATTAGCCTTATAACTTACCAACGGACGGTGCGAGCTGGCATTCGGATAGGTCGCGATGCTCGGGGTGTTCCTTTGAGCCGAGAAGGGCCGATGGGGCTTCAGCGTCAACGACATCTGTCTCCGATTCAATCTCGATGTGGACGCCGTCAACTTCAGGAGAGTTGGCTGAAAGAGCGATAGATATATTAAAGTTATTAACAGCTTTAGAATTATAGATTTAACAATAAATATGCACTCGAAAATTCGTATTTATTAATCATGTTTTGAAATATGCTGTTATCAAATTTTCGTTGAAACACGATTTTTAAACTTTCCTACTTATTAAATTGTACTTTTGAAAAACGGCTTAACGCGATCTAAGGAAATTGACTTTACCTTCCAAGTACAATAACAAATTGCCAGATAATTTAAATGTTTTTTATTAACGTGCGTAATATCTCATCTTTTAACATTCTTTATTTTTTAATTATACTAACAATAGTTTTAATTTTTAATTACGTGCCAAATTGTAACTTTTCGGGAAATGTTGTATATTTTTTAGTATTATGTACTACATTTAATTTATGTGCGTAAATACAACAATTTTTAGGTTGGCGCGAAGTCCAGAGCGCGGATTAATCTCGCATCAATAACTTGAGCTCCCTGGATTTTTGGAACATGTGTTTTTAGAGAAAAGAATTCTGATATAGTTTTTTTTGTAAGGTTAGAGCTTATTTTTTTTAAATTTGAGGGCAGTGAAGGTTGCATTATCATCAAAATAGTTTTAACACGATTATTAATTCTCCAAACTGATAAAAACTAACCGATTTGCTGTGCCTTGTTGACGGGGCGATCGGGCTTCATCTTCAGCTTGGCAAAGTCTGGAATATTCGGTTTAATCCGATAATAATAATGATATAAAAACACTCAAACATAAAACATAGTTTCTATTATATATCTATTAAATTTTTATCAATAATAATGGAATAAAACCTTAATTGTTTAACGCTATTTGTTTCGCAACTCCATGTGTAATTTTAGGCGTAATGCCAGAGTGCCAAACAACCAAAATTTTAATTTTGAGAGTTGTATGAAACATCAAACTTTTGAACGAAATTTTTTGATGAACCGGCAATATCGTTAAAATTAAGTTATATAAATTTCTATAATTCAGCTAAGTACTAAAGTATCGTTTTATCTACGATATCGTACCTCCTTGCTCGGCTCCCTCATCCTCATACTCGTCCTCGTCGGCTTCCCCCTCTTCGTTGACGGGCTCAGGTTGGCGCGGCGCGGGTTTTGAGGGGCGGGAGGGGACAGCTGATCAAGAATATTATATTTAAAATGCAGAATTAATAAAATATCATTTATGCGGGCTAAAAAGCAAACAATGATTTGATTTAACGTTTTTCGAGGTATTTAAATAATTTCTAGTATCGAAGTTTTCCCGCATACTTACAAGCTGAACTGGCGAGCCTTGTCTCCTGGACGGTCACTTCCGGCACCGTGTAGTCGGCTTCTAGAAAAAAACACTTTTCGGGGGCTTAGAAAAATATGTTTCAAATCGATTTTGGGTTTTTCGACTCGAAGTACCGCTATTGGAGCGTCCTGAACTCTAGGTAAAAATCATTAAACCATTTCATCAAATAAAAAAGCTTATAGCTAATAGCAATAATAAATGAATTAATACAATAAAAATCCGGCTGTTGTAACGTCCGCGAAAAGACAACAAATTAACTGCGCATGACAAATCTTTTGTGGCAACCTTTTTGAAACATCATTTCCCAACTGAAATTTTTTGGGTTTTTAGTAATATATTTTTTGGTTGCTGTTTTTCTATAACGTTGTATAACAATTAAGGGAAGTATTAATAATAAAAAATAATAATATTAGAATTTAATTAAAAACATACCCTCTTCCTTGCTGGCGGCGGCTGAGCTGCTGGCGTCTTCCGGAAGGCTGCCACGGCCAACGACCTGGAATATTGGGTTGAAATCTTCGTATGAAAGTACATATTATTTTGATTTAAAATATTGTATTCATAAAGATATATTTAAATAAATATTAAATAATTCTTACCTCTCCGGGGTTAGCTTGACGGCGGCCAAAGTATGGGGCATCCACCTGGAACAAATTGTGTTTCATCGAAATATTAATAGCCGGAACAATTTGCTCGGATAATCGGTTGGTGCTTTTATGTAAAAAATGTTCTCTATAGAATCTAGCCTACCCACTTACCTGCTCGTTGGGGATGCGTGAGGCCGAGCCGAGAAGTGGGCAGCAGAGGCGCGCTGGAAAAGGCGTCATTAAAATTGATGATTTCTATAGATTTGATTGGTTTAAATATCGTTGGCAAATTCCGGATTTTATCATAACGTACTTATCATTCTTTTGCATTATCGGGGGCACCTAATCATTTCTGGAAGACCGTAATTTTAATAACGTAATAGAAGTCGTTTTAATCCATTTTTCAGTGAATTTTATTTATATTTGAGGTGGAAAAGCTATCTAAAAATTGGCGAAATCTCTAGAAAAACCGAGCGGAAAAAGTAAGTTCCAAAAATATGGCTGCCGGGTGGAAATTAGCCGGATCTATTGGCAGACGGAAAGGCTTGGTAGAAAAATAAATTTTTTATCTAATTAGCAGCCAATCGCCGCGGTTTTCCCGAATTTACTATAACTCTTTAATGAAGCATCCGGTTTCTTCGTTTTAGCTCGGGAAATAAGGTAGTAGAGTTAAGCTAAGTTAAACCGACTTACTTCCTCTACCGGCGTCGATGGCACAGTAGAAGCCGCGGGGGCACATCTTCACTCCGTCGAAACCAGCACCGCAGAGGAGGGGACGGCCATTACGGCCGAATAGAGGGTCCGAAGCATCCGGGCAGATGAATTCGGGGACTTCGAGGTAGGCTTTCTTGCCGGCAGCTGGCAAAAGGGAGGTAAACAAATAGGTATCTCCCTCTCTCTCTCTCTCTCTCTCTCTCTCTCTCTCACTCTCGCTCACTCTCCCTCACTCGCTCTCCCTCACTCTATCTCTCTCCCTCATTCTCTCGCATTCACTCTCTCGCACTCACGCTCCCTATATTTTCCCTTTCACTGTCTTTCACTCTCGCTCACTCTCTCTCTCTCTCTCTCTCTCTCGCTCTCTCTTACTTGTAGTGGTGGTTGGCTGCTCAGTAACGGTCTCATCTTCAACCTCCTCTTCCTCTTCAGATGCGTCAACCGAAGCGCGGACGTCAGTCTTGGCGCCGAGCACGGTAGGCACTGCAAAAACCGTTTTAAATTCTCGATTTAAAAATAATGTTCCACCAATCTTCCTAGGTTTATGAATCTTTCAACAATTAATGTGTTAAGACCCCAAATCACGTAAAAAAATTCGGAGGTACAATGTTACTGCATTTTATGTTATTCCTGAAAAAGGTTTCGGGATATTTTTCGAATTTATTTGAATTTAAAAGGAGTTTTGTTTAGAAGAAATTTAACTTTCGTAGGTCAATCCAAGTTTTTTCTTTAAAAAAAATGTTTCACCAATCTCCGAAGCTTGGCAATGAATTAGTCATTTATTCCTTTCATTTCGGAAATCGTCTATGAACTCTTGAAAAATCCATGGACCCGTCATTTTCTTAGTTAGTCATTTATCTTTTTTTTTTGATTTCGGAAATTTAATTACTTTTGTGAAGTTTTTGACATTCGCGACATGATTTTAAAAAATTAGGTTTCATCAACGCGCCTAGGTGGTCGAATTAATTAGGCGCTTATTCGGATCTATTAATTGACTGTAAAATATCTGACCCAAGCTTTCCCATAGTCTCCGGTTTAATTGTTTTCTTGACCTGATTTAATATGCAAATTTAGTTGTGATACCCACCAAATTTCACGGTGGCGGGGTTTTGCCCGGGGCAGCAGACATCTGGTGGTCCACCACGGCAGTAGTACCCGGTTGGGCAGCCTGGAAATGGCGATATATTTGGCTAAAAAAGCTCAAAAATTTCATAGAATAAAGATTATATCAGAACTAACTGAAATTATGAGCTCCCGATTTGGGAAAACCGCATTAAATTGCAAAACAAGTTAAAACAAGCTTTGGAAAAATTTTTGTTTCGTTGTTCTCCACAGTAGAGACAAAGTTTGAAGGGCCAATGCAGCAACATCTTCGGATCTTTTCGTTAATTAAGAAAATTACCCTTATGTTAAATTATTTTTGAACCAATTTGAAGAGCAATTCTTATATATCGTCGGTAAATACAATCTCTAAAAATCTCGTATTTATGTTTTCAGTTAAACTCAATTTATATAATTTTAGACATTTTTTTGACGTTTTTATCGCTTCAGATATGGAAATGCCGTCATTCTAGGGTTTTAATATACCAGAAAACCAAAACATTTATTTTTTAGGCATTTTTTGTTTAGTTTTATCCGTATTTATACTTTTATGCATTTTATACCTTTAAGAATGGAAAAGCGTTTGATTTTAGCCTTTAATAAACCGCGAAACATACCAAACGAGTCGTTCTTGTTGCCGCACAGCACTGGGTATTTGCCGCCAAGTGGTGGCTGCTCTCCGGGACATTGGCCGGCCGGTACTGGCTTTTCCTCCTCGATTACGGTAGCGGCGGATGGCTGAAAAATTACGAAATAAAACGGTACCAGCGCTGACCCCCCGCTCCGCGGGGGTTCAGCGCTGGCCCTCCCGGGGGGAAATAAATCAACATCCCATACACCGAAATCCCGAAATCCCGAAACGCCCCGGCTCCCGGACCCGTCCGAACCGGTCCTGGGGTCCCGCAGCGATCCGTGCGGACGGACGGTCGGGCGCACGGACATTAGAAATTTATATATACTCTGAATATTACGGTAAAAGAACGAGCTATGAATTAACGCCTTGAAGTAATCATTGAGAGCTCGAAGTAATCCCACATTTTTGAAACATCCAAAATTCACGCCCCGGCTGCGCTTTTAATATATTAACCCAAAATAAATTAATAAAAATCCCCTAATAACGCTAAAATATATGAAGATATAACAATACATTAGAATTTCGAGGCAACCGACGTAATCTCAGGTTTTTTGAAACATTAACGATTTTAACCCTCGTTTTTGCACTTTCAATTTAAAAACTATTATTTTAAAACCTTTCATCCAAAAAAAAATCGGCCAGTCCATGCGTGGGAAAAAGTAGGGTCATACTTCATATTTAGTAAAAAACTTAATGTTGTTGGAATTTTTCTTGATAATCGGACGGTGCGTTCTTACGAAATGAAGTAATCCACCGGATAAAAAAGATGTTCCGATTAAAAAAGCATAGCCGGAAAAGTTGCGGTTAATAATCGTCGGAGTTTGGCCTCACGTTTGAAAAATATTATGCTCAAAAAAGGCCAATTTCATTTAAATAAAAAGGCATTATAATAATAATACATATTAAAATATAAATCAATACCACGGGACCTAATAAAGCACTTAAATAAAAATAAAAGTAAAAAAACGTAGATTCATTGTGAATAAATAGCGTAACTACCGTACCCGTCGCTGTCCAATGACGCAGAGGCGTTGGCAATCATCGAGGCTCAAGAAATTGTTGGCATTTCCCTTGCAGCCAGAGTAGTAGAAGGGTTGGCAAGTGTCGGTGTTGCGATCGTAGAAGTACCTGCGAACCCAGTTTAAAAAGTGCATAATATAAAATTATGAAGGGTCTTAAAAGGAACATACCATTTGAACCGAAAAATAAAAAAGAAAACGAAAATTTCCTCAAAAATCGGAACAAGTTACAATAAAAAGTTTGACTTTAATAGCATCGGCGATCTGCAAAAACCCTTAATGATAAGAAAATTATGCAAAATTGAACACCTACTAAGAAATTACTTATTTCTAATTAATGAGTTTCATAGTGAACTCGTCGTTTCTAAAAAAATAATGCGCTTACTAAAAAATAATAAAATCATACCATCATTAATAACGATTTGGAAACTAACTGAAACGTCCAAAAAATGGCATTTCCAAAGCTTAAAATTAATCAAATCAAACCAAAAAAACTTTTTGTCGTTGAAATTGATTAAAATATCTAAGATCTAAAAGAATCCATGGGGAAACGAAGCCCTGCCAGTTCCTTTAAACTTAAATTAAAATGCATATAAATCTTACCGGGAATGCTGGGCATGGCAGTCGCCGACCTGGACGGGCTGGATGCAAATTGAGACGTCACGGTCGAGAGGGGACCATTTGCTGAAAAGATGAAAATTACAGTGAAAAATGATACAATCAAGCATCGAAAAGTGACTGTACGCTAAACATACAAATAAGAATGTACTCAAAGTTGAAAAATATGTACGAAGCCGTTGTTAAAAACGCGGATGGCAATCTGGAATTATTCGGAATTTTATTTTCAGGCACGCTAAACTTTTCGAAACATTTTTTCTACAGCATGCATCTTGTCATTTTGGTTCTTGAGTATTCCCGGGGGGGGGGAAAGAATTCGCGGGGGGAAACCGAACTTTTTTCGGCCCAAGCCTGGATTTTTTATATCAATAGTGGAAGTGTTTCTAAATTGTTTATAGCTATTCCTAAGCATACAAACTTTACAAAATTTAATTAAAAATTTTAATTTTAGGTCGAAAAATCAATTTTTTCGACCCAAAAATGACAAAATTTTTGACTTTTTCAAGCGTTTTTCTAACTTTTTGAAAAAGTTTTTCCTATTAAAATAGGCTTAAATTTTGCTAAAAACAATTTGAAAACACTTTATATTTGATTACTATGCCCACCAGGGCCAACAGAAAAAAAGTGCCCGAAAAAAAACAGAAAGGTTTCCCCCGCGAATTCTTTCCCCCCGGGAATACTCAAGAACCGTCATTTTAAAACTATCAAATACATGTTTTTATTTCTGTCTAAATCTGTATATTTTTTAGGATTAAAATAAAACCTTGGCTGTTTCCTGCGGCGTTGCGAGGTGCCCATGACGGCTGCGGCGCTGGCGAATTGCCGGGGCTTCTCGGCTGTAAAAGTAAAATTATTTTTTTTAGATTAATACACCATAACATTTTAAGAGGTACTTATTTTTCTAAAAAACCCTATATTTTATAAAATATCCTACCTTATATAATTTGGTCGCGTATCTTTGTGTGTGTGTGTGTGCGGAGGTCAGTTTCGAGGCCCGATTTGAGGGCCTTCCCGTGTCCAAAACGCCCCAATTTTTCGTCACTCGGGGAAATCGACCTCCTCTATCCGATGGTGTTTTCAGAATTCCGATAAAATACAAGTTTACAAAGTTAAAGGCGATTTTATTCATTTTTGGGGTCCGGGAGGGCTAATTTGCATATTGTGAAAAGATAAAAATTTCCTCATTCTTGCAAGTTGCACTCGCGGGTTTGGTCGGGACAGGGAAGGGGGTCCGAAGGACTCGAGCTATCAGAAAGTCAAACTTTTCTTGGAAAGGCCGCATTCCAGCGCCCAAGGCCCGCGAAGCGGGTTTTGGGCGCTGGTAAATTATATAAAAAATATATAAAAATATATTGATTAGAAGAATTCTATATCCAAATATTGAATCCACGCATAATCAGGAGTTACCACAGGTGTAAACGCACTCCTGCTAAAGACTGATTCCTCTCAATAGAATTTTTCGAAACATAGATTTTTTTTGCGGTGGAATTGAGCTTCGGGAGAATTATTGTTGACGAATTATCTATCTATGCCACTAAACTTAGAAAATGTAATAACGCCTATAATACCATATCGATAATTGTTGATAGAGAAAGTCTACATTACGAAAAAGCAAAAAGCAAGAAGGTGTGCTTAGGCTAAAAAATCATTTAGGTAAATTTTATGCTGACTATTGTGAGAAGGCATAGTAAATAATACCCGCATTTTATTGGTACATTTTTTTTTGAAACTCGAATTTTAATATATTGTGCGTATGCCGACCGATTGTTGCTAGAAATTGATGCCTCCGAATAGAATTTTTTGAAACATCGTTATTTAGGGCGTAAGTTTTGTAAATACAATAGCAATAGCAAGGATCTTAATAATGTTTTAAGTAAAACGCAAATATATTTAAACTATGAAATCTATATAAAAACTTTAAATGTTTTACAACATCGTGATTTTCAAAAACCGGCCGTTTTTGGTCAAAAATTCGATGTTTCTCACTTCTCGAATCAAATTTTGTACATTTTTCGTCTAAGAAATATAAATTATTCAGACCATCAACGACCATTAATTTTCCAAATTAAAAAAATGCTCACCATCAAACCGGAGCGGCATCACGATGTCGTCCATGCTGAAGGCCGTCTGGCGCTTTTGGCGGAGAGAGCTGAAAAATTACTGAATTTTTAAAACGTTTTTAAGGTACCGCTTGTCACGGATCGGAGCATCGCGTAATCGGCGAATCTTGAGCGGACCGAACTGCTTGTATCCCTGTTTCGTCTCCTCGCCGTCGTAGCCGCCGAAAATGTGCTAAAAAAGGGATCTTTAGGACCTAAATTTTCTTGGAAAATCGGGTGTTTCTGAAAAATGGATTGCGTAAAAATTTTTAGTTGCAGGAGTGACCTTCGCCTGAATTTGGCAAAATTTTTGTCTAAGTTGTTGGAACAAAGGGTGCGTTTGCATTAGCGGGGGGGGGGGGTTTAATTTTTTCCTATATTAGAAATGCGTAGACGTTTTTAGTAAATCTTAACTAAATTTCAGGCGGAAAACATATATAAAAAACTAAAAAACTCTAAAAAATCGATCAATTTTTGATCGAAAAACCCTATCTTTGTGTATGTTTTTGTAATTTTGATAATCAGTTAATAGTCATAAGACTAAAAATCAATACCTTATCATAGGGATCCTCCACGGTAGGGCAGCAGAAATAGTCGAGTCCGTTGAAATAGCACACCGAATCGACGGGGCATTGATTGCGGCCGGGCAGACATTGTACCGGGCGTCCATCCACGTAGCTGAAGGAATTCAATTAATCTTTAAAAATTAATTTTGTATATCCAAATTTTCGATTTTTGCACAACTGAAGCACCTACGATAAAAATGTTCTTTAGCTCCGGCGTCCCACAATTTTATGAAACATCAGAACTATATAGAAAATTCCACCTTACTAAATATCACATTTGGATGGATTCGAATTTTTAATTAATGATTAAAACTTAGAAATTTGGGTTCTTTATTATTTCCGGGGACCAAATTTTTTCGGCCCAAGCCTAAATTTTTTTCTAAAGAGCGCATGCGTTTCTAAATGGTTTTTAACTGTTCCTGAGCATAAAAACTACCCACATTTTAATTAAAAAAATTAATTTTAGGTCCAAAAATCCTATAGAACCTTTAGGATTAGCCAGGGGGGGGGGGAAGACCCAAAAGACTAAATGTTCGACTTTTTCAAACATTTTTCTAACTCTTTTGTAAGGTTTTTCAACTTTAAATATAGTTAAAAATCACTAAAAACAATGTGAAAACACTTTATATCTGATTACTAGGTCAGCCGGGAAAAGAAAACCAGGAAAAAATTTGGTTTCCCCTCCCGGAAATTCCCCGGGAAATCCTAAAGAACCGAAATTTGTTATTGCAATATTTCTCGCAAAGTTGCGATGTTTAGGAACTATGTGCGCATTAAATTCTTCATTAGCCATTGAAGTCCTTAATTTTATGAAACACCTCAGTTCCTCAAAAAAAACCAAGCCCAGCCAGTTAAATAACAGTTTGCTGGAATCACTTTTTTTACATGAATTTGACAATACATAAATTTTAATCGCGCTATTGCGCCAATTTACTTAAGCTCCTAATGGAAATTAACTAGTAAGTAACTTTAATAAGGTTTAGACCGTTACGTGTAAAATCTTCGAGATATGCTACTTGCTTACCGATGTGCCTGTAGCCCGTTGGGGCAAGCGGGTACGAGTTGTCCTCCATCTACCGTATCATCCGATCCTTCAGCCCCCTCCGGCACGTCGAACTTGTCGATGTCGATGGCGTTCAGCTCGGAGAAGCTGTTGATCCCGTGGGCTTTCGGCTAAAAAACGTGGGTGAATTAGACCGGTCAAAAGAGCATACAAATTCCGACGTGCACACTTCAAGTTACTTCATTTTTTTCGTGAAACATAAATTTTTCAATTTTTAAAATGGGTTTTACAGGTTTTGCAGTGGGGGATATTTTTAATGTTTCCCTTTTGCGGTTAAGAATGTATAGGGTTTCGATTATTTTTGTTGTGTTCTGAAAAACCAAAAAAAATTATGTTACAAATTATGAAAAATTTCAAAATTTAGGTCGCGGATAGGGTTAAGGCGAATTCCTGAGAAATTTTTTTGAGTGATCCCGTTGTTCCGGGAAACATTGTTTTCAAAAATGTTTCACGCGGATTCAAAAAAAGCGGTTGATGCGAATCGCGATTTTGATCTGGAGCCAAATTTTCCACGCAATATAAATTCCGTCAAAAGGATGTTTCAGGGTATTTTAAAAATCTCGATTTGACAATCGGCTTACTCAAATGTCCGGAGGAATTCTAAGAAAAAGCATTTGCGCAGTTTGAATTAACAAAAATTTGGGTGCTATAAAAATCTGCTGTGGTATTTTGGCCAAAAAGTGAGCTTGAATTTCGTACCTCATAATACGATTCCTTTCATAGTCCAGTGATTACCTAGTTTACTCTCAAAGTTGCCCTGTTTTTCCGAGATACATAGGTTTTTAAAAAAATTTTCATCGCTTTTTGGAAGCCTATAAATATTTATTGATGTACCCTATAGATCATCCAGTAGGTGATAGATACGAAGGCAGCTTTTTCTCGGTTTTGAATTTTTAAGATATTTTTGACTGAATGTGGTCGATTTTGGTCGGAAATTATGTGCGGATACCACGCATGATTCTGGGTTTTACTTTCGCACTAGCCCCATGTTTCCGACGAACATAATTTTTCAAGGCTTAGAAGTTTTATCAAGAAAACTGGTTTAATCACGGAATATGGGCGAAGTGAAAAGTCGCCAAGCTTCGAAATTTCTAGAACTTGTAAATAAATTGGTATTTTTGGTTTCAGGAAACATGGTTTTTACAAAGAAATGTTCCAGAACTTTTAGCGTTAGTAGGTAGAGCTAGGCGCGGTATTACCTCGGCTTGAATAATGTAATATTCCTAATTCCCAATTTCCTCAAATTTTAAAAGAAAATGTTGCGGATTTTCCCGGAACGCGTGCAGCGTTTCACAGATAATTCTGCGAAGCCTCTGTAAACGCATTGAATATTCGGAAATTATGCAAAAAACCAGAGAATCCTTTGATAAAATTGAATACGTTTTAAAATAAAAATAAGAATAAAAATCCTGGCAAACCTTGGCTCCGGTTTGGTAGTTGACCGACTCGGGCGGGCTGGGGCCAACGATTGGCTGGTTGGCGTTCGGGCCCTAAAAAAGAGAAATTTCGTACGGAGAGATAGAGAGAGAGAGAGAGAGAGAGAGAGAGCGAGAGCGAGAGAAGAGAGAGAGATAGAAAGCGCGCGAGAGAGTGAGAGAGAGGGGGGGAGAGAGCCTGAGAGAGAGAGAGCGAGAGAGACATAGATACCCCTAAAAACTCACCAATGGTGTTCCTTCCACTGGCAGAGGCTCGACCTTGTACTGCGGGTTCGAGTTGTCCGGGCTGAAAAAAGCAAGAAATCAAAAATTATATAATTTTTATAGTAGCTGCTCAGTGTTTCGAATTGACTGAACCTTGCAATAGTGTCTATTAACTTATGGGTTCGACCTTGTTTTTCAGAAACATAAAATTTTGAGAATTCACTTGTCAGGTTTTGTGAAAAAATGTTTTAAGGTAACTGAAAAAGATCTCAAATTCTTAAGTCTATATTGGTTCATAATCGAATCGGAGCGCAAGGAAAAATCAAAGGAAAACTACGACGGAAAATACGATATTTTTATTAGTAAATTTTTATTTCAAACTTTTATGCTCGAAACCATTAAATGGAAGTTGCATTCGCTTTTTTTAGTTTGATTTATAGAGCACAAAAAAATCGTCTAATTAGATTCCCAAAAATTAATATTTTTGTTTTTATTTTTAGATGTTGTTTCGTAAATTTATAAACTCGACAGTCGTCGCTCACTACTGGCCCAAAAAGCTTTCGATTTGTGCAGGGTGCCGAAACATACATTTGGTTGGGCTGGAGGGCGATGAGGGTCTTGTCACCACGGACAGCTGGAGGATGGGCAACTTCACCGGGGGTCTCGTGCTGAAGGCCTCCAACGATTGGGGATGATGGTGGGGGCACCAGATCGACGTCTTCGATCTAAAAATAACTTCATAAAAAAAATTCCTTTACATAAAACTGAAACACGATGTTTCATAAAAAACTAACTCCCGCAAACAGTTGTCTTGGATACTTAGGCCATTATTCCGTTTAAACTTTAAACAGCTTTTAAACTTCAAATTCTCGCTAAAAATAGGGACTCGGCGTGGCTTTATGAAAAACAGTATAACAAACGGCACGCAAGAAGCGCCTCAATTTTTGTTTTTCCTACATAGTTGGGCTTTAAAAATATCTAGTGAGGTTGAGGAAAATTTCTTGAAAATCATACAAAAATGCTATTAGAAAAGTATGTTCTATTTAATTGTACCATTTTAGTGGTTTAAATGACGACAGTTGGCTTTGGATTCTGCCCTGAAAACATGGATGAATAGCCAATGCAAAATGGTGCATTACGTTTTGAAAACGGGTTCTAATAGCATTTTTCATAAATGGTAAAACTGGAACATTTTAAAAATATGTTTAGTTTTCTTCCGAACCAGTGATTTTGATCCCGATGAATCCCAGTGACAAGGTTGAGTCCCAAGGCTGACTATAGAAACATACCTTTTCGAAGGATTTGACATGATCGGGGATTGGTTCGAGAAGGGCTCGATGGTCAGCAGAAACGTCGGCCTCCTCCTCGTCCTCATCCTCATCCTCCTTCTCCATCTCCTCGTGACTGTACTCCTTGTCGAATTTCTCCATGTCCTCTTTCGACATTTTCGGTGGCTGAAATTTGAGTGTTTCGCGGTAAATTATAAAGAAAAAAAAATTGTGGTTTGCTATAATCATTCCACCAGGTTAGAAGTGTCTATTGTAATTGCTTTAAAATATTTGTCTGAAAATTAATTTGTGATCAGCCTTTAAACCATGAAATACATTAATTGATGATCAAAGGGAAGATATAATTTGAAAATACTAATTGAGATATTGACAGCCGGGTGTTTTTGTGAAGTAGATTTTTTTAACAAATTCGTCGCGAAAAAATAAAATAGAATAATAGTTTATGAAGGCATTTTTAAAGCCATGCTTTGGCCATTTAAAACTAGTGTTATTGCGTAACACAATAAATCAGATTTTTTTGAAAATATGTTTCTCAAAACCATAGGCTGCGGGCGAGTTTTAGTGGGGGTAATGGCATTATGGTATAGCTATGAAAATCTGGTAATCGGGTATGAAAATTTGACGTGCCGAGCTACAGTACCCTGTTTACGCATCTTCGTAAATATACTGAAAAATTCTAAATCAAATTTAAAAGGTAAAGATTTGAAAAAATATGTTCCCAAAATGTAATAGTGGAAGTTCCGGATTTTGAATCGAATCCACTAACATACAAATACAAGTAGGCTGGAAAATTTTTGCAAAATCATAATATTAAGCCAATTTCCCACATTTTATATTAATTAAAACCATTATATTTCACGATTTTACGCATATACGTCAAGTGTAAATAACCGGAAATTAGAATTCGATTTTTCAAAAAAGATGTTAGGGTTTAGTTTAGAGTATCGCACGCCTGAAGTTCCTTAGTAATCTTCGTAGACCAACAGTTTTGCCATGAATTAAACAAATAAATGTCATTGAAACCTCATTTAAGGTACTCACAATACCATCAATCTTTAAAATACGGTACCTGGGGCACGGGCTGTGGTGGCTGCGTGGCGACGAATGGTACGGTGACGGCATCCGTCGAATCCAATGGATTTTGGGTGGTGGGCCTGGAAAAAATTAATGTTTCTAGGAAAAAGCTTTAATAACCACTGAGGATTTGCGCAGTTTTTTTTAGGTCATGACAAAATTATTAATGGGTGCAGGAATATCTGATGGCCGTATTGCGAGCTGCTAAATTAAGCAAATTTTCTAGAACTTTGCATATGTGTGAAACACGGAAATCTCGAGGGTGGCTTTTTCCTATAACTCCAGGTGGCCCTAGTAGTGTAATAGTCAATGTTTTAATCGTTTTCTTCACAGAACGATAATTGAAGTAAAAAATGCCGAAAATTGGTCACCTGGCCGAAAAATTGATATTTTTGTATTTTTTATACAAGCTTATGATTTTTTTGTGTACAGGAATAGTAAAAACAATTTAGAAACTTTAAAGAAAGTTATCTATTTTTAGAAAATTGGATTCGAATGATACCCCCACCCCCAGATAATGCCAAAGCACCATAAAATCGTATTCTTTCGTTTTCAAAGAAACAAAAAATTATCCGCAGAATTTTTGCTATAGATTTTACGGAAACGAAAGATCACCGCGTTTCAGGAGGTGTATTACATAAAACATTTCGATTTCATGCGATAACGAGCGTAAAACATTGTTTTTTCGAGAAATAAATAAGCATGTTTCAACCATTACACTTGAAAAAGAACTCTCTTTAGGACCAATGGTTATCATTGTTCATTACAATTAAAATTAATCGGCATTAAGCATGCAATTTAATTGATACCTTAGTCATTCTTAAACCTAATTAAATTTATGAAGCACTTACCTTTGCGTGGATTGTGTGGTGGGCGGCTGCGTTTGGGCGAAGGGTCCTTCGGCTAAAAACAAAATGAGTTTTCGTAACTTTTGGCTTTCCGCGCAAATAAAAATGATCTGATTTTTTCGGAATTAAATTCTTTAAAAATGGTGTGATTAAAAATAAATAATAAAAGTTAAAAAATACTTACAGCTGCACTGATGCTGGCAGGCGGTAATGCTGACGAATCGATTGGGGTTTCCGCCGGATCCCTGGTAGATGAACTGCTCGCACCGCAGGTTCTTCGTGTTGAAGTACCTAGAAAAATGCGATAAATTCAATGTTTCGGTTTGGAGGGGGATTTGAAGCTGTTGATAATCAAATAATTGGGCTTGAATTCTGCCGCGTTTTAATAAAGTTTTAATTACAAAAAACGCTTAATAAATTTTTATTTGAAATGCTGGTCGAAAATCAGCCATTTTTTGTCGAAAAATCTATATTAATTTTGTATGTTTTGATCAAAATTTATAAAGTTTCGGCGTTTAGGAATAATCAAAAGTCTAAAAATGGTTCCGTTGTTTATATTATAGAACATTCGATCCTTAAAAAAAGCTGGTCCCCCCGATAATGCGAAAGAACCAAGCTAGTGAAAAGTAATACTTGTCCGCTAACATTAGTGGACGTATAAAGGTGTAAACTAATCGGCCCGTTACAAGCACCGCAAGTTAGGCAAATATTTGAAACTTGTTTTTCGAAAAGTTTTTTTCAGCGGTTTCGCCTAGGTGAGGTTTTGATCCAAAAACTCCTAATTTTACGAGATGAGAAAGATAAAAAAACGATAATTAAATAGCAATATTCCAATAAATTTATTTCATCAGTCGCAACTTACTGGAAAAATTTTTCTGGGCTCAAAAAGTACTTTTCTGCGCAAGTACTAAGCCGTAAAACTAGGCAATTGGCCCAAACGTCCGGAATTTTTACTTTACAATTTATTTAAATTAAATTAAAACTAAGTTAACTACACTAAATTAACTAAATTAAAAATAGCAATAAAATTTGAAACGTTTTTTTTTGCAATTTTGTCCTCTCCAAACTTTTTGCATAATTGGGTCTACAATTGATTGTTAATGTATACATTCGTTACAAAGAATCCGTGAAACATTTTAAAACTAATTTTTAATTTCATTGAATTTATATTTATACAAATCTACAAAAGCTAGCCGATTGAAATAAAAAAAATGTGGCATAAAAACTGACCACAACACATTGTAGCCACCGCCGAAGCCGGGCTCCTTCTCGTGGGCGCACCGTTCTGGGATCTAAAAGCAAGGTCTAAAAAGGACCCGACTACCGTACCCTGTTCAGAACACCCATCGGCCGATGCATCGCGATACAGCCCACCTCGCAGGTCGCGCTGAAAAACGTATAATTTTCGAAAATTTTCCATACGGAATTCAAAGAAAGTGTTTCAGCTAATTCCATAGAAACCTTGGATTTTAGGCCTCCTTACTAACCATAGTTCTTCGATAACGAATGTAATCATGAAAAAATAATAAATTACGCGGCCTTTCGAGTTTAAAATGGATTGTGGATTTTTCTAGCTATAAATTTTCTTAGCGTTTTTTGGCCGCACGCAACACGCGACGCGTACGCGGTGTTTGGCTGCTTGAAGAGGAACGGATTCAATTACGCAATGGAAAGTTTTTTTGGAGGCGGCGTTGTGTGTCGCGTGGCGGAAAATCCAATATTTAATAGAGCCTTGTAGAACACTGGCCCCCGGCGATGCCATATTTTTAAAAACAAATGTTTCATCAATTTCTCGTAATTCCCGATGTCGCATAGGCCGTAATTCTAGCTCCGATGGGAAGTAGTATGCGAAAATTAAACCAGTTTACCAACCCGGGAATTAGGTTAGCCACATTTTGAAAATTTATCTTTGAAAGAATATGTTTCAGTGAATTTTATTACTCCTTGCTAATTTTTTATGGCGATAAAGATTCCCTCTTCCATTCCCTACCAAAATAAAAACAGCTACAAAAAATCAAAAGCCTTCGATGCGGACTTTTCATTTTTTTCCGAAAATATGTTTTAGGAGAATCCATAAAAACAGCTTTTTTTTGATTTGTATTATTCCCTGTAGTCCTTGCAACCCACCGATCGAAGAAATTGTTGGCATTGCCGCCGCACGATCCGTACGAGAACTGCTCGCACTGCCCGGATTCCGCGTTAAAGAACCTTGAAATATTTTTAATACTAATAATATTTAAACCTTGATATTCTCGCGAACTTTACTGTTTTTCTACACGGTAACAGAAAAAAAATTACTTTGCATGGCTTGGTTGGAGCGGATCATTACAACCAGAAAAGCCGCATTGGGCTAGATTTTTGAAACATTTTTGAAAAATCGCTGACTATCGTTTTGACCTTCAGGTTTCTACTTCTTTTTTGTCAAACTTCTAATTTCTAATTATTCTAGCCTTCTAATTTGTTTTATTTTAATAAAATTTTTAAAAAAAATAAAAAAAAAAAATTTAAAAAAAAAAAGGGGGGTATTTTTTTAAAAAAATTAAATATAAAATTTTAAAAATAAAGGGGGGGTTTTTTTTTTTTTTTTAAAATTTTTTGATTGATCTACCATTTTTGAAATTAAATTTGATGCCGTTCAGCTAATTTAAAACGATTCAAAACAATTAATTAATCTTTACTTAGAATAAAAAATAATGATGTAAAAGTGAAATTTGTTCTAATATTTTAAAATTTTACAAAAAATTATATCAAATTACCATCTCGGGACGTAGTCTTTGCAGTGGCCAGCATCCGGGGGGAGGGCGCACACGATCACCGGGTTGACGAGTGGCTGCAAAAAAATAGATGTTTCGGATCAATTTAACAACCAAAAGCGTAGTTTCCTAATATTTAGCCTCGCGATCTGTTTTTACCGCAACTTTCTAAGCTTCGGTGTCCCGTGCGATTTAAAATCAGACGCTTTGGCATTATCGGGGAGAACCCATTTTTCATGAATCGAAAAACGCCTGTTAAAAATAAGAAGAATTGATTAGTGTTTTTAGTAAAAGGGCGATATATTTCAAGTGCAAAAACTACTTTGCAACTAAAAAAATTGAAATTTTTTTATCGAAAGGCGACTATATGTGGTCGAAAAATCAATAATTTTGTTTTAGTTCATTTAAATTCCTTCACAATCACCATCGGAACAAATTTCTTGTGGTTTAACTAATGAAATTAGCCAAAGTACCTTTTATCGAATACGAAACAGACATAATTTTTGGTCTAATCAGTCATCAAACATTGAATTTTACAAAATTCAAAAATTTGGTTTGTCAAACCTGTTGAACGGGCTTGGCGGCAGGGACGGGGCGGGGTGGCTGCTGGGTGGTGGATACGGTAGGCTCAGCTAAATAGGTTCTTTGTCGGATTGAGCGTGGTTTCTTTAGTACGAAAAACCTGGGTTTTTTGTTCTTTCGAGGTTTTAGCAATATTCCTATTGGGGGGTTATTGCATACGACCGATTAAAAACAACACAATCAATCACGCTAGCATTTTTTTCGAAACATTTTTTACTAAAACCTTTTGCCTGCGGAAAGTTGAAAGTTCTGTCGAAACCTTGAATTATCTTGATTTAATATCGCCATCGCTATACTGGTCATAAATAATTTTTTTAATTAAATAATCTGGATACCAATTCTATCCAGATCCAAGCTCTCCATCGATCGGCCAATGCCAACCGGGGCAAGGGGGACGGGCTCGCGGCCTGCGGCTTCTGGATGCACTGGGACGGGCCTGAAATTTTTGTTATAATTATTGATAGACTTTATCACGGTTTATCCACTCTAACTCGTTGCAATTACATTACGGAGATTTTTTGCAATTTTTTGCCATTTTTAAATTCAGGTGTTTCAATGAAATTTTAATGTTTAATTTTTATTAATTCGTTTTTTTCTTCTTTTTTTCTGTTCGTTCGGCTATTTCAAAGTAAATAAAAACAGCAATGGGGATTTTTTGAAACGCAAACATATAGCTCCTCAAGCGTTAAAAAATTAAAGAGGGGTTCATTCAAATTAAAGCAGTACCAGGCAGCTTTTACTACTTTTTGCGCTAGAATTTTTTGTGTTTCAAGATCTTTTGTGGCTGGGGGCGTGAATGCTTTTAATAATACCGCATTTCCTGGTCCACCCAAAACGATAGCCAGCGATTTTGGCGTGAATTTAACAATTGATATTAAATTAAATAATATATTATTGATAAAATGCAATAGTTTTAATTACAATATAAATTATCGGTGCCAGCTTACCTCGGGGTGGTGGTGGTTGTAGTAGTGGTAGGAGAAGTGGTAGTCGTGGTGGTCGTCGGCGAGGAACTGGTCGTGGGCTGAAAATGTAAGTTTCGTCACGGACAATTCCTACATTCCGATTTGGCCCAATAGTTCTTGCAATTTATCGTCTCGATTAATGCGGTAAAATTCATACAACTTGCTAAATTTCCTTTGGAAAAATGAAAGTATTTGTACAAATATGCTTTTGAAAATCAGCGGAAACGAGAAAAAAATGTTTAGCGATCTTAGTAGAATTGTATTCTTAGTAGAGTAGATTCTTAGTAGAATTGGCCATAATTTGGATCATTTCGCGAAAAATGCATAGCAGAAACATTCGTAATTTTACATTTTTTTAGTTTTAAGGGTCTTAGGAAACATGTTATCTGAGTTAAATTATCCCATTTATTTCTCAGCTTAAAATCAAAATTAAAACTCCGCTGAAAGCAAAAAGAACTCTTCTTGTAAAAATATTCTATTTGAAGATTTAATTGAATAAATAAGTTATATTTATGTTCATTTCAATTCTTTTTGAAATCAAATTTCGGTGAATCCTGCAAAAAAAACCGACACAAATTGATGTTTCAAAACTTAATAAAACTAAAAATTTTGAAAACCTGATAATTTCACGATCATCCCAAGTATGTTTGATGATTTTTCGAAAATTCCAAGATTAAAAAAAATAATAAATACGTAATAAGCTTACCTTGATCTCATCCATATCTCCATCCTCCTCATCCATCTTCAGCTGTTCGGGGTCGACATCTACTGTTTCTGAAGGCATCCTTTGCTCCTTGCTGCTCTTTTTCTCTTGCTCCTTCTCCTTCTCGTGCTCTCTCTCGCCCTGCTCGATAAAGAGCGGTGCGGTGGTGGTGGGTTTTTTGGGGAGGATACGCACCGCGTGCAGGGTAGCGTTGCGTACAGCTGCAGGTGTGGTGCTCGGGACTAGAATAACGGGGGTGGTGCTCGTGCTCACTGGGGTGGTGCTCTCTTTATGGCTGGCTTCGGCCAACTCTTCGATAGTCATCGGGTCAGTTTCGAGGACTTCGGCAGGTTCCATACCCGATTCCTCAGATTCCTCAAGGGTTTCTGTGGATTTTTTAAGGGTCTCGAGCGCCTTTAAAACTTTTTCGGGAAATTCCTGAACTTTTTGAACTGGTTTTTCAGCATCAGACGCCTTTAAAACACTCTTTGCATGCTCCGGAACCTTGTCCTCCTTCAAAACCCTCTTCTTCTCATCCTCCGGCTCATCTACAGACTCCTCAACCTCCTCCGACTTGATGCTCGTCACCGATTTTGGAAGCTCTGCAAAATTCTTGTCTTCCGATTTCTCTAGAGACTGCTTGAGCTCGATCTTCGGCTCGTCCTCGACCTCCTCCGAGTCCTCGACCGTCTCCAACTCCTCGGACTTGATCGCCGCTCCGGTCGTGCTCACCTTCGGAGCAGCAGTAGCCAGACTCGGCCTCGAGGCCCTAGGAGCCTGAACTTCTTCAGATTCCTCCTCCTCTTCCTCTGTACTTGTCGAAGACGTCGTGGTAGTTGTAGTCGTACTCCTTCGAGTCGTGGTCGTGCTAACGCGTTTGGTGGTGCCCTTTGTGGTGCTAATCGAGATGCGAGAACCGAATTGCGTGCCAGGGGGTGCAACCGGGCGTCGATCAGCGGTCTGGAGAGGTTCATCAACGACTTCCTCTTCTTGTTCATCTTCGTCATCGTCTTCTTCTTCGGAAAAGACACGTCCGAGGCGTATTTTGGTGCCGAGTGGAGTGGATGCGGCTGGCTGCTCGACAGAGGTGGGTGCAACAAAACCTGCAATGAAATGAGGATAGGGGTGCCGGAAACGCAACCGTGCCTAAAATTTGCCTCTCCTAAAATTTAATAATTTAATATTATTATTTTCATGCATTTTATTAATATTTGGATTTGTTGTAATTAATCTTTAAAAATTTCGCACAATAAGTTGGTTCTCTGAAACATATTTTTATAAAAAATGCTTTACTATGCATTATCATAAAAAATTCCTAAATTATCCACGTAAATGAAACACGTTTTCTAAAACACATTCAAATTATACGCATTAAAATTTCCAAATTATGAAAATCATTTAGAATTTTCACAATCACGATTTTTTGATCCTAATGTTTCGTCAAACATGTTGCAAGTTTTTATTAATCGGGCAGTGTTTCGGAAACATTTATTAAAAGGCCCGAGACTCCTTTGTCAACATTGAATTTTTTTAATTTATAAAATGACGAAGATTCTATTTTGTATAATGGAAAGAATGACAGGGAACCTAATAAAGTTCCGAATGTTGTAGGCATTTTCACGAAACACCTTTTTGCAAGACTGAAATTTCGTCATTGCATTTAGGTTCAAAAGTTTTTACAATGGCCTTTTTGAAAAACTGGAGGATGGTTTTACTAACTGAAAACAGGCAGAAAATTACTTATGCTCGACTCATTGTTAATATAATCTGTTTCGAATGACTTTTGATACCAATGAATTACCTAATGAGATTTCTACAGGTTCAGGCTATTTGGCGAAACATAATTTCGATAATTTTAGGCTGGATTAGGACAAGCGGTTCGCTAGGAAAGTGTGTTTTAATTTTGTAAAACTATCAAAGAAGTAGGTTTTGCTCAATCCCATCGTTTCTTATTTTTGTAAAATATTTTTCAGGCGTTTGATAAATGCCCTAAACTTCTTATTCAATTTTTTTTGGTTTAAAAATATTTTAAAAGTACAGGACTCGAACATGTTGCTTTACGACAGAGAAACCGTATAATTCACTAACCGATTTTTAATTTATTTTGAAACATTTTTAAAAAACATTAACAAAACATGTTCCCCGATTGGAGACACACCTACTTTTCGTGAATTTGGCGGGTGCGCGTGCGATGTTGGTTAGTCGCAGTGGGTGGTAGTTTTCATGTAAATTTGAGGTGATTGTGAATTCCTTAAATTCCGGGTTTTCCGCCAGGGTACGCCATTCCGTTTCGATACTCTTGACTACAAATTGTTTCGGGGCGGAATTGTCCAGATGCCCGGAATTGTCCTCGAATTCCGGGACGCTACGTTCGTGAACACTAGCCAGGTATAATTCTTTAAGTCGTAGGATTGGGTCTACGGTAGTTGGGGGTACGGTAGTGGATTCTAAGAATTTTTCAGTTCTAAAGTTTGGTCCTTCTACCGTAACTGGGGGCTTTGGAAATGCCATATCTTCCATGGCATTTTCAAGGAATTCTGTTGAACTTGTCAAACTTGTCGTTTTTGATTTTTTGAGGGTTTCGACACGGTGATGCCGATTTTGAAAACTTGTTTTGTGTGAAATTGGTCCGCTAGTCGTTTGGGCCTGTATCACACTTTCGGTATTTTTCGAAAAATCCAATAATATCGGATTCACCGTAGTCCCTTCCGTTTCTTCGCGAATTTGCCTCCGTAACCCAACTACCGTATCATGACTACGGTAGCTAGATTTACCATAATATTCTGGGACCATTTTTGGGGAGATTTCTACTGGTGGGGCGTAAATTGGCACGGCGCCAGCGTGAGGCCGGGCCTGGGGTACGGTATCGGGGTCGTTGGAAAGAATTTGAAGATGGCGCCCGAGTACGGTAGTTGTAATTGGGATCTGGGTAGTTGGATGTCGATCCGATGAAAGTTGATGTTTCGAAAAACTTATATTAGTTTGGGTTTTGTGATCGGATTTAATGCAATCTCGTACGCCCGGATTTTGCAACGCTGATTCTTCAGCTCCGGGAAAGTTTTGAGGTTTCACAGGGTTGGGGGCAAAAACGAGGCGCGGTTTGGCCGGTTGGCGACGAAATGGTTGTTCTAAATTTTTCAAAATTGGATGCAAGTTGGGGGGATTTTCCGAATGTTGCAAATTCCTAAAAATGAAATGTTTCTCAGAAAATAGAGCACCAACTTCCCGTTTCTTTTGTAATAGCTCTTGGCTAGTCGGGCTCGATCTTCTTTGCGAGATATTTCCATCTTCGATCATATTAATTTCGCCGATATTGCCATTCAAATTAGAGACATTTTGGTCGGGTTTAGATTGATGGGCGGCCGGGTCTTCAATTTTTTCATGTTTCATAAAATTGCCTAGATCCAGGCTTGGCCTCGTTAATAATGGTATGTTGACACCTCCGTTAACAATTTGTTGATTCTCATTCGTTCCCTCATTGAATTTTCCTTTTAAAATAGCCGCATCTTCTGCGGGCATTTTGCGCGTATTTTCAAGCAAATTATTGAGATTTTCCGAGGTCACCAGTTGGTGCTCAATTTTTTTAATCTTCAAGCTCTCTCCCGGATTCGGGTTGTCCTCAATTTGAATGGCGATAAATTGGGTCCCATTTTCGGGGTGGCCCAATTTTTGCAGGTGTTTTTGGATGAGGGCGAGTGCTGCTCAGGGATCTCGGCCAGTTGTGGCGTGTCGGGGTTTTCGATTTTGTCGTTGAACTGGGTGTTGATTTGCGGGATATAGCCGGTGTCGATAAAAGCGGCAAAATGCTCGCGCATAGGCCACTGCGGTGCGTCGGGTGATGGGTGTGCTAAAAAAGTGGCTGGGTGCGAAAAAAGTGTGTTTTAGAAAAATTACGGGATTAGTGATTTGAGGGTTTGGTAATTTATTCTGGGTAGTTAAGCAATCAAAGTTAAATGCTAAATTTTGCAAACGAGGGTGTTTGAAAAAGCGTGTTATATAGAAAAAAGGTAAGGGTTAATTATTTAAGCAGTTAGCAATCATCAATATTTCTTTACCGATTTTTTAATACGCCAAACTAAAATTAATTTTTTAAACGAGTAGATACGACAAAAGGTATGTTTTATAGAAATTGAAAGATGCGCGAATGGGGCATTCGCTAATTTGGCACTCCATCCTGGTGTTTTCGAATATTTTAAAGCTGAAAATAATTTTGAAATATGTCGGTGTCAAAAATTGTTTCTATAAAAATGAAAAACTAGTGCAGTTATGAGGTTAGTAATTATATATTTTACGCTGATTTGTTCCAATCACTAAACATAGAAAAGGGTTTTTGAAATGGGTGGGTACAAAGATATATTTCACAAAAATTATGGGATGAGTGCTTTCGGCGGTTAGGAATTGATCAATGAATTTCGGTTTTTACCACAAACTGAATGCAAAAATTAATTAATTACCAGGGTTGAAAAGCCGCTTCGCGACTTTTCAACCCTGGCCCCGTCTCCGACCGCATGCTATTTTTCCCTTTGCATAATTGTCCTCCATTCAGAAAACAAAAAAAATGAAAAACAACCCTTTCTGCCTCTTTATATAGGCGACGGCCCACTTCCGGTCTATGCTAATTATTCCTAACAAAGAAGTTTTTACAAAAACCTAACTTTAATAGCGAAAATGGCTCATTTTTAAAAATCTGGTATGTGTGCAGTCATCCCTAGACCATTACGCACCTAATGACGTATCATACGTAGCCTAATACCCGCCCCTTCTTGAGATATCCTCCGGACAGACAGACGGAAGTGGATGCAAAGTGGCACACACACACACACACAAACACACAAACACTATTTTTTTATATATAGTAGGATTGTGTCCAAGTAAATTTTCTACATGTATATTTCTGCGCCTACGAATTCAATTTAAGTCAGTTTCATTAAAAAACGATTTTTATGTAAATTCTTGCCTGCGGGATTCGTGAAATGGGTAATAACTTTTTTGCTTTTTCGATCGCAAAATTCAGGCTCCAAGCAGCTCCGGGATTTGCTTAATTTTTAGTAGGAAAACAAGTAATTTACATGTTATTTAATGTTAATAGTTGTGCAAACCAAATTCACGAAATTGCCATCAAAACTATTTTTCGAAGTTACCGAAAACTATTTGAAACTGATAGTAAATGTCCCCCGGTCGTCCAAAAAGTGCGTCGACACGTCAAGCTTGCTGTGGTGCTTTTCGTGAAACATTCAAAAATCAGAGAACCAAAATAATTTAGAAAAAGTATCAAGAAGTTTTTAAATACTCACGACTAAACCGGGCGCAGTGGATCTCGCATTCGCGGAGCGTGAAGAAGTGGTTACGGTTGCCGGCGCAGCCTCCGTACTGTAAATCAGTTTATTTTTAAGTTCGATTCTTGTTATTTTATTTGGGAAACCATTCAATTATAAAAAGATTTTCTTTTAGTATTAAACGTATTATATTAAACGTATATATTAAACTTAGATAGAATTAAATTGATACCTTAAATGGATGGCACTGTCCGTCGGCCGGGTCGAAGAAGTACCGATCGACAAAGTGGCTGCACGGTCCCGGGTCGACCGGTTGCAGGCATTTCTCCGTCATCGTCATCGGCGACTGGAAATTGAGTATTGAAAAGTACTGATTCAACCCATAAAAATTCCGAAACTCATAATTTTGATTAACTTTCATCGTTTATAAAACCAAAACTGATCTAAAATTGAGCGCCTGTGAACGCGGATACCATTATTGCGTGTATTTCACAAATAAATGAGTAACTTCGATAAAACATTCATTCTTTCGAGCAGTCAACCTACTTGGATTTTAGATTTTAATGCAAATTAAGGGTTAGCAATTTAATTTGAAATATTTTTGAGCTGATTTTAACGAAGCTCCTAGAGGTGATTATGTGAATTGACCACCACCGATTTAATCAGCTAGAATGAAACGTTTTTTTGAAATTATTTGAAGAGGGTGACAACTATACCAATTTTTTTAGTTTTTAGATTCATAGTCCATATCGATTCAAAAAAAACCTGCAACTGGAAATAAATTATTGCTACTCAAAATTGCCAGTTTCAGATATCTTTGAAAGCTGATTTTTTCAAATTTACCTGTGGCGGTTGGGGTCCATTTCGGCGGGTGGTCGTCGTGAACGTGGCTGGGGCACGGGTCTAAAAATCGTAGAATGTCAATTTAACTTACACTTCAAATCTGGTATAAGAGATTTTGAATTTTGCGATAAAAAGAAAAAACAATCGGCTTTTTTAGACAAATTTCTTCTATTTTTAAAATGTAAAGTTGTATGTTTCGAAAACTCCGTACCTGGATACGCGTGGGGGCCACGGTGGGGCGTTCGAGCTCGACGAGGGGTCGCTTATCGAACGTCTGAAAAAAAATGGGTTTTCAATTGATATTTGCTCATTTCATATATCCTTTTAGTAATTCGAACGTAATATTATTTTTATCATAGATTTAATTCATAATACAAATTTTAGAGATTGAGGAAAACCAGTATCTAAATTGTGGACGAAGCACAAAAATGTAACGTTATTTTCAAAATCGAATGAGCAAGGTCAGTAATTTTAGTAATATTTTTATATTTAATACTTTTAACTTTTTAATACCTCAAAATTGCGGACAGAGCTGGCGCGAGGGCCGGGCGGTGATGGGGCTGATGGAGGCCGGGGTGGTCCGGCCTGGTGAGCTGGCGGCTACAAAAAAAATTTACAAAAATTAGTTTCTTAGAAAATGGTAAAACGGAGTGTAATGAACCGAACAGTGGTTTGAACCTACCATAGCATTGAAAATATGTTTCATTAAAATGCCCATTCGAGCAATTTTTTTTAATTTGAATTCGGTCAGCGGTTTTCCATTCCCAATAAATTTAAAACGGACTGAAACCAACCTGAGGCCCACGATTTTCGGGCAGACGGTGAAGTTGAGGGCCGGTAGGTAGCGGGCACACGCATTCCTGTATAGAAAATCATAAATATTTAAAGGGCTGCCGACGGCATGTGTCGATCCCCTCCCCGCCCCCCATCAACAAATTGGCAAGTAGCCAACAGGGCAGAGAGCGCGCGCTGGGGAGAGGCGCAGAGACATTTTCTTTCCAGCGCGTAACCAATTGACTATGCCGTCGGCATCCCTTTAATGAATATTGGATGGGTAAAAATCAAAATTATGTGGGATTGAAAGGAACTACTAAGGCCGCCAAAAATCTTGATATTTTCTATTCTGGCCAAAACATGTTTTCTGTCCGTCATCGAGTCGAAGTTTTTTCATTTTCTTTTTTCTTTAATTTTATTCGAGGTCGTAGTAAAAATTTTAATAATGTTAGTAATTGCCTATCTACGTAGAAAAACAACAAAAGTAAACTTTTCTGGTCGAATTGCCATTTTTGGCCGCAAAATTGTTTTTTTTTTGATAAACCATCGATTCTTATATTTTTCGGAACCCATTTGTGGCCAAAAATGCGGGTGAAAAAAGTATGAATACGAAATTCTGTTATTTGGCCGCTGAGAATGCTAGGTTAAGTAACAATGCGCGAATCCAGTTCTGCTTATTTCTTTTGCTGAAACATTTTTCGGAATTTCCGAATGCCGAATCCTGCCATAATCCCGACAACCAAAAATTTGACTGAGTGAAGCTAATAGTATGCGCGAAATTGAGCGAAAGCCGAATGTCAAAGCGAAATTAATGCTATCCAAATCTCTACATCATTATACCATTAAAAACATTCACATTCTGCACGCGCTCTTTAATTTTGGGATTTTGTTGTCGATATTTTGGCGTTTTCCAACATTTTCGTTGGCAGCCCACCCAAACGATTTTACGAGAAAAAAGTAGGATAAGGCAGATACAAGCTCATATTAGCAAGCGCGAAATCGAGCTACTTTGAATTTGCCATGAAACATTTTTTCTTGACCAGCTCATCCAAGAGAAATAAAGAGGGAAAAAATGTTAATAGGAGCAGGCGTAAGTTTGCACTAGCAAACTCTCAATCAGTCGGCCCTAAATTTTCGACGAAACACATGTTCTTTACCTGGCATCCCTTGCGATTCTGGAAGACGATGCACGGCTCGACACAGGCATCAACATCCAGCTTCGGGCACTGGGCACGCGATTGGGGGATTGGGGCTGGAAATTTAGGTTTTTTAATTTCCAGAAGTTTATATAAGCTTCACGGCTTCAAATAAAAAATGGGCTAGGCTGTTCCACTCAATTCGCTCTCTATTTTGAGGTGAGAAAGTGCGCAAAACCGTATCCGGCCCTTTCTAGCATTAAAAACCAGAAAACCACAGAAATTGTCTACAAATCGAAGATAGCGACAGCGTGTTTCAAAAAAAAACGAAACCGTGTACTCACTATCGTCACTATTGGCCAATTGAATTTGACGACTTTTCAAAGCATTTCGAGCCTGGCGTTTCGAGCAAGCACGCCTAATAATTTCAAAAATCCTACCATCAAGCCGGTGAATTTTCGATGTTTTAAACGCTAAATACGAAAATATGAAAGAACACCAGAATAAAGATAGTGACGCGGTGTTAAATATCCGATTCTCAAGAAATTACGAACCAAGATTTCCGACAATCTCGAAATTTGTTGGCTACAAAAATAGTTAGTCCTCGAAGTTCGAAAAACCCGAAATCAGTTTCGTGTCAAATATTTAAATTAATCTTAAATTATATATTTTTTAACTTTCCGATCAATTATTATGCATTGGACAGGAAATCGAAACAAATCGTCCGCAACGCCATATGTAAGGTGCGATTAGAGCGTCATAATTGATTACGCAATATAATGTCGAAATTTCATAATGTCGACATTTCCCAATTCCGATTCCAAATGCCGATTTTTTTCAATACTTGGGGATTTTCTGGGAGATCTGTTTATCGAAAATATCAATCTTCTAGAATTCCGGCATTATAAGTAACCCGCAAAATAGCTAATGAATCTCTAGACGTCAAATTCATAATCCTGCTTTGCCTGGCCCTTTAAAATCCGTTAAAATTCCGACCTGGTGGGAGACTCCTGGAGGGGCAATCACAGGTGAAGCATCCGTGCGTGTCCCTCAACAGCGTGCAGCCGGATTCGCAGCGCGGCGCTGGCGGGCACCGGACCTGCAAAATTTGTATAATTAATAAATTAATGTAATATAATCAAATTGAAACTATAATTGCTAATATCAATCAAAATCTGCTTTTTTAAAAAGCTGGCAAAAAATTTGTTTCAAAAAAATTTGAAACTGAACCGTTCTGAAAAGAGGCAATTTTATAGCATGCACCCGTTATTGTCTTTATTTTTATTTTCTATGACAAATAGGCGTTGCCGAATTGCAACGTGAAAACCGCAACACCACAAGTTTTTTCTGAAACATTTGCGACGCAAAAACTTCGAAATGCATCGTTGGCGAAATTAGAGTTGAAAAGCAGTTATTAAATTCAATTACATTTTCACGCCAATAATACGTCAAATTCTTTTCAGGGACTATCTATTTTATCCACACATGAGCCCGCTAACCACAAAAAGACCGATACTACGTGGCCATTAAAAATTGTTGGTTTCACTGAAGTTCAGTGCGAGGTGACAAAAATCGGACGCAATTGAGGAGTCTTCCCGGTCCACTAATGAATCGTATTACTATTTCATTAAATTGGTCAAGAAATACATTTGCACAGTAACTAAATATTTCTATTGAATTTGTTAAGCCATTCAAAACAGAAATATTGGAGTAATCGTAGATTGTCAGCAGACGGTATCGTCTTGGAATTATCTCGAAGTCCAGCTATTTTTCGCCAGTTTTTTTTCAAACATCTCATTATCAACGCCTAGTTATCAACATTTTTGTGAAATATAAATATTTTGTCAATTCCAGCAAAAATTACCACAGCTGTCGATGTGGTGGATTTCTGGCTGGGCTTCTCCCTGTCGAGGCATTCCTTGCGGCACTCGGTGGCTGACGCAAAGTTGTTGCCGTTTCCTGAAAGAAAATACTGTAAAATAGTTGTGGCAAATGTTTAAAAATCAGAAATTTTTGCAAAAAAATGTTGCATGAAACCGTAAAAATTGTAAGTCTTAAAAATAGATAGTTCACGTCGATATAGATAGATAGATGTGTTAAAGTCATCGCAAACATTCAATTCCCTTAAAGCTCGCGAAAAAATAGTGCATTAATCCATAAAAATTGTGAATTTAAAAAACCAATACGAAGTGCCCCTCAGCGAAAAAGCTTTCCTGTAAACAATTGCGCTCCCAGAACTGATATTTTCAAGCCAGAAAATTTCGAAAAAAATGTTTCGCGTAAACCCAAAGCTTAGGCTCTTTGGAAGTTTATTACTGCCTCCAACACAGATGAATAATTCCTTACCTCCGCATCCTCCGTACGTGAACTGTAGACAGTCACCGGTCAACTGGTCGAAGGCGAAACGCTGAAAATGAGGATTACATGTGAAGAAACAAAAATGATACATCTAGGTATCAAAACCTAAATAATAATAATAAACAAAAATAATGATAAAAATATGAATGGTAAATTTCCTACGGATCGTATTTTAATCCGGAAGGAACGTATTTGCTAAAGACTTTTGATGAAACATGTTTTTTTGTGCGTGAGAATACGAGATCAGATTTGCATTATTCGCTGCAATTTCTTGCTATTTAAGTGTTACTAAAAAGTTTACCGTCTAGTTCTTAAGATAATTCTGTATCCTAAATACAAGCTATCAGCCTAAAATCGTTTAAAAATTAAGTTGCGGTGTGGAAAAATGTTTCAAAGATTTTTGTATTTCCGAAAAATCAAAAATGGATAATTCCGTGGAAATATGATACCACTCTTTTTATTTTATTTTATATATTTTCAACATATTTCAGTTTCATATATTTTCTATATTTTTTTGTTGTACATAAAAAATGTTTGAACCAATTTTGTCAATGAAAAAAGAATCCTACTATATATAAAAATATAAAAAAAATAGTGTCTGTGTGTGTGTGAGTGTGTGCCACTTTGCATGCAACTTCCGTCAGGTTGTTCCAGCAGTATCTCAAGAAGGGGGGTAGTTAGGTGTATGTATGATACGTCATTAGGTGCGTAAAGTCCAGGAGATGACTGCACGCATATCGGATTTTGCAAAAAGTGCTGTTTTCGACATTAAAATTAAGTTTTTATGAAAACCCGGGTCTCCCTCTTTGTTAGAAACAATTTGCATGCGCCGGAAGTGGCGAAAGCCTATATAAAGGGACAGAAGGGCATGTTTTTCATTTTTCGGCATGGGTGATTCGTGAAAAATATGCAAAGTGCAGAATATCAGCGGATCAGACGGGGCCAGGGTTGAAAAGTCGCGAAGCGGCTTTTCAACCCTGGTATATATAAAAAAAATAGTTTCTGTGTGTGTGTGTGTGTGTGCATTTGCATGCAACTTCCGTCACCGTGTCCGGAGGATATCTCAAGAGGCGAAGGATCCTAGGCTACGTATGATACGTCATTAGGTGCGTAATGGCCCCGAGATGACTGCACACACATCAGATTTTGCAATTTACGCTATTTTCGACATTAAAATTGAGTTTTTGTTGAAAAATCCGACAGCCTTCTTTGTTAGGAAAAAATTAGCATCTGCCGGAAGTGGCGGCAGCCTATATATAACGCGAGAGCGTGGAATTTTTTATTTTTCTCATAGGAATTCGAGAGACGTATGCAGAGTGAAGAATATTCTCGGGTTAGACGGGGCCAGGGTTGAAAAGTCACGAAGCAGCTCTTCAACCCTGGTTTTTAAGCTAATTAATCAAAGGACGGATCCGAAAAATACCTGGAAAGTTCCAGCACAAGGTCCCTTATCAACCGGATGATCGCACACATTAATGGTAGGCGGAATTGGGGCATCAGTCGTCACTCCCGTGTGCACCTTTGAGGGCTCGACACCCTTTGGCAGCTAAAAATAGATAATTTAATTTTAATACAGTGTATAATTAAATATTAATAAAAACTTTATAATTTTGATGAAATTAATGATATAAAATTAATATAGTTTAAAAATTGCATTACAATTCTAGATAGGTAGAAACGCAAAAGACCATACATACGAAAAGATAAAAGGACAAAGTATTGCACCTTTTTTCGAACCAGATGTTTCACAAAAAATTTTTAGCGAAACGGAAAATTTCGCTATTAATTCAGCGTATGTGAGAACGCATTAAAAATCAATTGTAAAAACTGTATCAAACTACAAATTTAACTTCTTTCGCAATATATTTTATCGTATCGTGCGCCTGGTATCGTAGCCATCAAATTGAGAAATTTCAAAAAAATCCGTGTAAAGTCCGTTTTTAATCTTAAAAATCTATATTAGCTTTATCTGCCAAAAATAGAATAGCACATCTTAAAAGCTTACCTTAACGCCATGACACTTTTGCTCGCACTCGTCGATGGTGGCAAAGTTGTTACCGTTGCCTGAAATCAGTATGTTTCAATTATATTTAAAAAGTGCGATTTTGTTTTCAAATAATATTTGAAAATAAAAGTCGAAAAATGTCGAAATTTAAATTCGACACGCCTGATTCGAAATTCAATTCAGAATCGGGAATCAACGAAGGCTGTAAATAATATTCCTTACCTCCACATCCACCGTAGGTAAATGGACGGCAGTTTTCGGTCTCGCCGTCGAAGGCGAAGCGCTAAAAATTTGACACATACTATCAAATTTTATTTGGAAAATCTGATAATGAATCCTATTCTTAATGATTCAGTCCCATTAAATCTAGATACAAAAAGATTACAATATTGAGACACTAGAAACGATCCATGAAAGGACATGTTTCAAATATTTTTAGATCACGAGATAACCACCGATTTTTAATGGGCTTCTAGATGTTTTCAAATACCGCAAATGTATACAAGTACGATTTTTCCATAAAATTTCCAGGTTTAATTTTTCCCGCCCAAAGGCTAAGGGTTCGATGAACATTAAGGAAAATCGTTAAAAATTAAGGAAAAGCAAAAACGATTCTGTAAATTTCGGAAAAAAAACATGTTTCAGGTAGATTTAAAGAGTGAGCTGCTTTAGGAACTTTAGTTCCATCTCGATTTCTGGAAATGCTAAGAGAATTATTCCTGTCACCAATTTTTCCAATGTTTGGAAAAAAATATTTTTCACAAATTTTCAACAACGGCGTCACTAAATACGTAGTAATCGCTTGCCAAATCAAAAAGCGGTTCTCAGGCTTATCTCACAGAAAATGAATTCAGAAAACTACTATTAAATTAATTTTTGTATACTTACCTTGAAAACACCATTGCACTCTCCGGCATCAACGTCATGCAGACACACGTTGGCCACCTCTGGGGGTACTGTAATGGAAAAAGTTTGCGCATTTTTCGAACTTTGTGTTGCCAGGATTGACCTACGGGTCTGTTTGGAATTTTTAGATATTTCTTTAATTTTTAGATGGCTCATTTGTGAGAAACACATTTTTGATAAAAATCGCAAGACGCTAAAAATTTAGTTATCGATTAGAATTTTTTTAGATTATAGAGTTTTTGGCAAAATTCCGCATATATGAAGTCATGCGTTTTCCTTGGCTAGGAGCTGTGAAAACAAGTGTACAGACTTTATATAACCCGGAGCATTTTCTGATCCTTATATAATGGTCTCACGTACTTAGTGAATATTAATTTTTTAGATATGCTTTTTAGCATGAAACCTAGATGTTTTGGAGGCGATTTCTCCTTTTTCTTCTCTCTCTGTCTCTCTTATTCTCTCTCTGTCTCTCTTATTCTCTCACTCTCTCTCTCTCACTCCCTATCTCTCTCTCTCTCTCTCTCTCTCGCTCTCTTACCGGTATCAGGCAGCGGCTGGGCGGTAGTAGGGGCCAGGCGCGAGCAGGTCAGTGCGCACTCTTCACGCGTAGCAAAGTTGTTGCCATTTCCGGCACATCCAGAGTAGGTGAATACCTAGAACAAAGGCTTTTATTATGGCATTATAAGGCATTCATTCATTAAGGCAAAATCAAGTTTAACCTCGATTTAACAATTATATACACCTTAATCAGATACAAAAAACTGTTTCGACAAAAAATGAGTGAAAAAATGATTTGGCATGCTTATTGAGACGAGGAAGCCTATTTTGATTTTTCACATGGTTACTTGATGAACTAATATTATATTTTTAATATGGCTATATAACCCTACTTACCTCGCATTCCAGACTCTCCGTGTTGAAGAACCAGCGGACAAATTGGCCGCGGCACGTTCCGACGTCGCGCGGGTGCTTGCAACGGTTCACTAAAAATGCCAAAATTGAACCAGAAAATAAAAGTAAATAACAGAAAAACAACATGCATTTAGGTGGGAATTGAAGAGAAACTGTGAAACTAATAGCAGAACGAAATTGACAACAATAAAATTTTCGACATTTTGAGAGTTGCTGAAACAATGTTTTTCTAGTCGCAACTATCCAATTTTTAATGTTCTACCGTTGGAAAAATGGTACCATCCAGACCTAATTTTTTTGAATGTGACCTTTAAGTTTTAGCTTTTTAGCTACAAAAGCATTTCATTTTTCATCAGTTTCTCTCCAACTCCCAAAACAAAGGTGACCCATTGAAGGGCATGCACTACATGCAACAACATAAGTAACTATGAAACACATGCTTTTTGGAGAAAAACGGCTGGGCTCGATTTTTCTCGAAAAAAATTAAATTTGGATGCGCCAAAAATGTTTCATGTTTTTCGATAACAAAGGGGCAATTTCAATAATCAATATACAACCGAGCCTGGCCAACGAACTAGTAACGCCAAACTTGCCCTCTCAGCAACTTACCATCGTCAACTAAATGAGTGATTTTTTGGGGTTTTTAAAGGATTTTTCATTAAACAAAAAAATACCATGTAGGATATAATTAATTGTTAAAAACAAAAGTTAATAAATCTTAAGAGGAGTCCACGTGGCCTCAAAACTACCTGCAACGTTTGAAAAAATAAGGTTTCAAAAAATAAGCACGTTCGGCCGTTTGCCCAATACTTCAATGAGGGACGCCTTGGATTTTGATTAGACTTCCTTAGCTACATTAAAATTCAAGCGATTTTCGATTTTAGATATCACGATTAAATTCGTCAAAAATCGCCTTTTTTAAGAGGAAAATGTTTTACATAAAAATCAACAAAAATTTGTATGAAATTCGTTAGTAAAATGTCATATGAAATACAAGAATAGGATATATGAATAAGGCTCGTGTCTGGTAATAAATTACGCGTTAAAAGGATCAAATAAACATATTACGGTGTTTGGAAAATTTTACTCATCGTATTTAATATATTTTATAAAATTTTATTTTACTTTTTTTCACTTATATCTGTGGCATACTCATTAATTTATACTCATTAATTTCTACTCTATAATACTCATTAGTTTCTACAGTACTTCCATCGAAATCCTATTAAAATCCAGCTTCATAAATTAGCGTACCTTCGAGCAGAGCCAAATCGGCGTCGGGCATCTCGGGCTTGAGGGTGAACAGCTTCTGAAGGGGCGCCGCCTTCGTCGTGGTCGTCGGCGAGTGGGTACTGCAACAGAAAAAATTTATTATTGATTTCTAGCAATATTTAAATTAACATTTTGAGAAAAAGCCACTCGGCTCATTATACCCAAAAAAATCATTCGGTACACTAAAAACTGTGAAACATTTAAGATTGAAAAAATGTACAAGTTTTGGACTAGACAAATCCGCTAGTGGCCAGAGAATTTCATTAATTCTATTTTCATAAATAAATAAACCTTTTAATGGGAAATGATGGGCTCTGAATATGAAATTATTGGGTTTTCCACTTTCAGTAAAACACCTTTTTCTAGAAATCGAAGGATTTACTAACCTCGTCCTAGCGGCCGTAGTGGGCTTGGCGGTGGTGGTAGTGGCGGAGCGTCGCGTAGTCGTAGCAGTAGTGGTAGTGACACGGATTCCGGGTACCGTACCCAGAGGCTGGTTGGCGTTCAGCGGGTGCGAGATGTGGCCGAAACGGGGCGCCTGAAAAACATTTCAATTTATTCTTATAGCAGCCGTTAATCCGCTAGAATTAAATCTATAAAATCAAATCCAAATTAAAGTAATATTTTCTCTAAAAAACCCCAAAAATATCTGCAACATCTTTAAGAAAAGAAGCTTAAAGTATCAACTAAAATTAAGGTACATGAACTTACGCGTGTAACATTGCATCGCTGCTCGCAGTCCTCAACCTTCTCGAAATTGTTGCCATTTCCCTCGCAACCGCCGTAGAAAAAGTATTTGCACTCCTGAAACATGCGTTAAAATAAAATGTTTGATCTTGATTGGATCCGTCGACTATTTTATTAACTTTAATAGTGGAACATAGACCGCGCTTCAAAATTAATAAAAGCAAAGAGTATTGATCAAAAAGGGGGCACTACCTACTAAAATCTATAAAATTAAACATAGACTACCGAGCGATAGAATTTTAGCGGGAAAATTATGATTGCTTCCATGGACCAAAAATTACTCTGAACATTAATTTGGAAATGCATACAAAAAATATTAGAATTCCTGAAACAAACTATTTAAAATCAAATGTTTTATCGTCAACGGATCCTGAGACCAATTTATTAAATATAATCCTTCGTAGCCCAGGGCATTTAATAACAGTTAATTCATTCAATTAAAAAAGAAGGTATTGTCCAAAATCTCAAAAAATTAAACCAAACTTTAAAAAGATTAAAAATTCGCGGTGAATTTAAAATGTAGCCGAAAAATAAGAGTGTTTCAGGCGTTAAAAATTCGAAATATCGATCGTAAACCTAAATAAACAAAACTAGAAACTAAAAATATTTTTTTAATGAAAAAAATAGACCAGCGAGCGTCAAAATTCTAGTGTATTTGAATTGTAGGGGAAAGTCGGTTTTAGGGGTAAAATATGTTTCAAAATTACTCGATTTTGTTCGTGAGGTAATCAATTTTTAGTGGAAAAATGCCTTTTTCTCAAGCAAATTAACGATTAAAAAACGATACCTTATTGTCGGGGTTGTAGTAGAATCGTAGCTCGTAGTGATCGCAGGGTCCTCGCTCCTTTGGCATCTGGCAGACGTCACCGCCAACGGCCGGTCGTCCAGAATCCAGGGCTCCCACTGCAAAATTTTTTAAAGTTTCAATTTTTGCTGAAAGACATCTTTGTAAAATAATTTGAAAAATTTCACAATGAGATTACCAGGTCCCACTTGACTATAATTATCTATAGAAACGGCTTTGTGCTATCATTCTCAATGAAACATTTTCATGGACATAAATTTTCTCGTAAATTTGCCTGATTTTCAAGGGCAAATCTGCAGGTGCTAGCGAGGAGTAAATTGGGTATCGAAATTTTTCTAGACGCTTCAGTTTTTGAAACATTTTATCTTCAGCTTTTTCTAAAACTAAAGATTTCCACTGGGAATCCAATTCCTGTTTTCGCTTGACGAAACCAAGTTCGTCGAAAAATCAACGAATTTTTTAACAAAACATCGACACACCTATTAGAATCATTTAAGTTAAAAAGAAAATTGTCAAACGTTTTTTGAACTCGATTGAACTTCAATTTTTTTTGCAGGTGTGCAGGCAAAATTACCGTTAAAATAATTTTTTCCGCCACTCAAAAATGAAACATTTTATCTGATTTTTTCCCAAACCTGAGTTGATTTACGTTGATCTAGTTAACTTAAATAGAACTTAAAATTAGGATTTTTATAAGGAAAAACAGATCAACAAAAAAAGTAAAATACCGCACCACTCTTGTCGTTCTGTGGACAGCAGACGGCGCTTCCCTGTACGGTGGAGCACTCGTAGCCGGAGGGGCAATCGCGCTTTGCGCAGTTGATCGGCGCGCCAGTCACGGTTTTCAGAGGCTCGCCCTGCAAAAAGGATTAGAATTTAAACTCTATTCAATATGATAACGATCGATTGGCGTAATTTTTCAAACCCAAAATACAAGGTAAAAACACAACGTGTGGATTGGTTTTACAAATTTTTGCGGAAGCACTAAATATTTTGAAACATCATTTTTGCAATTTTTTAACTTTTTAGACTTTGGAAACGTTATTGATCTAATTTTTCTCCTTTCAGCCATTTATTGTTCGTTTTGTACTTTTTAACAGCCAAAAACTCCCTATTTTTTGTAACAATAAAGTTCATGGCAATAATATTTCAGCAAAGGCAGATTTTTAAAATAATAGACGCGCTCAAAAATTAAACCATTTAATTAAACTTTAGAAATTTAACAAAAAAGGAAATACTAGCAGATTTTGCTGCAAAAATACTGCCATTTTTAGAGTTCGATTTTATCTTAAGGACTGAACACTTGTGTTTTTAGTTTTTCTGGTAGGTAATAAGGGTGAATTACATGCATATCCTTGGGCAAGGCTAGGCCTAAGGTTGAAACATACTCTCTCGCATTTCGGGGCCACTTGGGCAACGGGGGCACAGCGATCGTGACACGCGTGTTCCGTCGCGTAGTTATTTCCATTTCCGCCGCATCCCGAGTAGTGGAACGTCTTGCACTTCTTCGCCGATTCGTCGTAGTACCACCTGTAAATTGGCAAAATTGATAAGGCAGAGCTGATGAACCAGCAAAGATAGGGCGATGTGATTATGAAAATAGAGTATTAATAAAGTTGAGTAGTTGCTGACAAACATTAATTTTGATCAAGAATTTAAGATATCTTTGTGTATCAGCGCTTGTTCGCAAACTGAAACCACGATTTTCTTCCAAAAAACGTGTTCCGGCTGAGTATGTCTATCGAGCAATCAGGCTAATCTTAATACAGATTCGATGAATCTTGTTTAATAAAAACAAGTGGAACTTTAATAACCACTACCAGACAGAGCAGCTGAATTGAATAAAAAATGACATACCTTTGTAGTGAGGTGGAGCACGGGCCAGGCACGGGTCCGCCCTGGCATTCATTGGTGCGCGGAGCGCCGGCGGTGGCGATGCTCTCGCAGTCGGGCTTTCCGCTGCGCATCCGCGAGTTCGGCAGCTCGATTCCCTGTAGAAAAAACAATAGATAGTGTGAGAGCAGAAAATCAGGATTTGTTTGATTTTGATTGATTGATATTTGATTTCTTCGACAAAACAATTGTCTGCATTTTCGTTCAGTTTAGCTGGCAATTTTTTGAAACAGTTTTTCTCGTCCGCCCAAAATAAAATTATATAAAATGAGAGAGCTAGGGTCCACGCATTACTGATATTTTCAGATAAACAGATAACAGAAATATTGGCAAAATTTTGGTTCAGTTTTATTCGCGAATTTTTGAAAGACGAAATAAATGAGCAGAAATAAATCTTGTGCAACATGTTTTTGCTCATCTTGATTTTTCCGCCTATTCGAGGCCGTTCTACCTTTCAATAATGAAAAAATTAACAGATTTGAATGCGAAAAGTAAGAGCAAACATTAACGGCTGGACCAACCTTTTTCCTATAGGACCCGATTCTTCTAATAACAAAAAAAAGAGGAAGTGTTTATAAAAAGTTTTTCTATTCCTATAAACGTCAATGCTTTACAAGGTTTATTAAGATTCATTTTTCGCGAGATTTTTGTGGGACACGTTTGAAAAAATTTTGCTTGTACCTACCGAGAGTAATTGAAAATACTTTTTGTTACTGAACTTCAAAGTTGCATGAAACATCCATCCTTACCCGATGATCGACACAAAAGCACGAGTGGCCATTCGGTTCGCATTGCATCTTTTCGAAAGATCCATCTTCGGAGGAGCATTCTGGGATCCAGCCACCGCGGACAAGACCTCCACTTCCAGAAGCGGCGCGACGACGCTCGCATTCTATAAAAGGTTATGGTTGTCATATCACACCCCACCGATCAATTCAATTGTTATCCCTTTTTCTATTTTACTTTCCCCTTGTACGAAACATTCTTTTTGACGATTCGCATTAATGACAGAAAAATAAGATTATGGATTGATGCCGGGAAAATGAAGTAGAAAATAGGAAACAGGGATCAGGATAGATATAAAAAAACCAGCACTTCTTGGTGGTTTCCGATTTAATTTTTATTTGGACTTTGCCGATTTTATTTTTGAATTTTTACGAAATTTTTGTAATACCTCCGTTTTGTTAATTGAGAGTTGGTTGAGCACAAGTAATTAGTGCTATATCCTTTACCAATCCAGCATCAGCCAGAGTGGAAACATGTATTTTTAGCAGCTGCGCATTACTAGGAAAAATCTGCTGCATTACACAAATTATTTATACGATATTTCCCGTAATTTAATTGCGGTTTTGATGAAACCCTTCAAGCTATCGGCTAAAAACAATATGTTTTTTTTGTTTAGGTAAATGACATCTAGACCCGATTTCGTAATCGATCAGTGCTCATCCTTGAATTTGAAAATATATAGTTTTGCAGGGAAAACGATGCAGTAATGCCTTGTCTGCACCTTTAATATCCCTTTTAAACGCTATATTACTTCTTAAATAAGCGTCGTAGCATAAACGAGAAAGCCCCTTTTGGTGGGAGATATTTAAAAGAGTTTTCGCCAATTTTTTAAGCTAAAAATATCCTACCTTATATAATTTGGTCGCGTATCTTTGTCTGTGTGTGTGTGCGGAGGTCAGTTTCGAAGCCCGATTTGAGGGCCTTGCCGTGTCCAAAATGCCCTAATTCTCCGTCACTTGGGGGAATCGACCCTCCTCTTTTCGATGGCGTTCTCAGAATTTTGATAAAATACAAGTTTACAAAGTTAAAGCCGGTTTTATTCATTTTTGGGGGCCCCGGGGGGCTAATTTGCATAATGCGAGAAAATTTTTCCTCATTCTTGCCAGTTGCACTCGCGCGTGTGGTCGGCCGGGGGGGAGGGGGTCCGAAGGACCCGAGCTATCGGAAAGTCAAATTTATTATGCAAAGGCCGCATTCCAGCGCCCAAGGCCCGCGAAGCGGGTTTTGGGCGCTGGTTAATTATAATACCAACCAGTTCGGGGTGCTTCAGTCGATTCGTTGGATTCCTCGGATTCCGACTCTGATTCCGTGGTGGTCGTCGTGGTCGGTGTCGTCGAGCGGGTCGTTTCCGGGGCTTCCGAAGATTTGGTTTCCTGCAAAGTGATGTTTCAACGCTACTACTGGTTCTATCAACGCATTTTCGTTACCCGAAAACTACTTTTTCATTGAAACAAATATTTTCCAAAAAGTTACGCCGAAAGTTAATGAACTAGTTGTTTTTGTTTGAATAAATTACATATCGTTTGGCGGCACAATATTGAAACTTTTCGTTATTAAAAATCCTACAACCTTACGAGATCTTGCTAATATATTGTCATCAAGAACTTTACTATAACTACTGGGTTACTATAAGTTTTATGGTTACTATAATCTTAATATTGGAGCCTTATTCTCATATATAAATAAATATATCAAAAGTCAATGTTTTTAAAAGATTATTTTAGGATTTTTAGCGAGAAGGAATCGCAGGTGTTAGCTAACTATTATTGCCCAAGTAAATGAAACACCTTACCCCAAAAAAGCAAAGCTGAAGAAAAAAAAATGTGCTTCGTGCCTAAAAGGGGCACAACTACCTATAATTTTTAGCGGTGTGCTTGGTCCTTCATTTGGAATTATCACTATTTAATGAATTGTTACAATTAAATGGTTATTTGTAATGTCATGTTTAATTTTAGGTTAAATCACCATTAACATCACGTAATTGGTTAGCCCCCATGTAAACCGGTTAAATTAACGGCAAACGTTTTTAGTAATTTTTCGTAGTATAGTGCAAACCCAGTTGGGCGGGGTGGCATATGTAAATTCGGGATCTGCCCCATCTCTGCTTCTCTGCGTCTCTGCTCTCTCGCCCTGCTTCTTCTTCTCCTCCTCCCAGGGCATCGCGAAGTTGTCGAGGCTGGTGTTTTTCTGCTGAAAGATGGGTTAGGACACAGAACACGGCAAACACGACAAATTAGGTTATTTATGATATAAAGAACGTGAATTTTTAAAATCGCGGGCAACGAAATATTGCCATAAAGATTTATAAAAGATCACACATTCTTTTTCGAAAATTTTTTGTGTTTTTTTGTGTTTCCTTTAAAAAAACGTTTTTAAGGCAGGGCCGAAAAAACTTTGTTAACCAGTGGTCGGGCCCTTGGCGGACGGACTTTAAAATGTTTTGATATTAAAGATTTGTTTTTATAAAACTTAGCTTTTCTAATTAGGTTCATTCGCGGATAAATTATGATGTTTCAGACCAGCTACTAAGGAAATATAACACTTTTCGAGGTTTTAGCCTGCTTCTGATGAGTTTCCTAAAAAAATATCCATAACCAGGGTTGAAAAGCCGCTTCGCGACTTTTCAACCCTGGCCCCGTCAAACCCCCATAATATCCTTCACTTTGCATACTGGTCTTCGATTCTCCATTTTGATGCGAATAATGAAAAATGTCACTCTCTCGCTCATTATATAGGCGCCCGCGACTTCCGGCCTATACAAATTGGTTCCTACCAAAGAGGGTTCCCGATTTTACAACAAAAAATAATTTTAATGTCGAAAACTACGAATTTTGTAAAATCTGATATACGTGCATTCATCTCGTGGCCATTACGCACATAATGACGTATCATCCGTAGCCTAATACCCTTTCCTCCTTGAGATATCCTCCGGACAGACAGACGGAAGTTGCATGCAAAGTGGCACACACACACAGACACTATTTTTTTATATATAGTAGGAATTGTCATCCGTGAGTGCAATAGTGAGTGGACATATCTCAAATCAATTAAAATCCTCAATTCTTCACCAGGGATTAAAGTTAATACAACGATTGACACCGCAAAAATGTGATATATTAGTGGTACACACATTTGATAAAAATTGCTAAAACCTGTTAAATGTTATAATTTAAATCCCAAAAAATGATACTGACCTTCGGGGTCCCCAGATTTCCGGGCCCACTCAAGCAAGCATCCTCGCATTCCTCCTTGTAGCGGAAAAGCCGGGGCTCCGAATCGTCGTTAGCGCAATGGCCTGCAATAAAATCATTAAATGGGAGCACGAAAATTGACGCCCTCTTATTTCCGAAACACTTTTTTAACTGGAAAATCAAAAATGCCGGAACCCAAACTTTTCTCCGAAAATTAATGAGTTAAAAACCCCCTATAAAATTATGGACCATGGAAATGCCTGTCTAGATAGAGAAATTCTAGAGAAAACTCCAACTACCTGGACGAAAAACTCTATATAATTTTGCGAAATCAAGTTGCGTGAAAAATTAAGAAATGCTCCGTCTCCTGGGTACCTTTTTAACCTGAAACCTCAAATTTTTTAGCAAATTTTTCCTTCAATTTTTGCTCGGAAACTACCTAAATAAAACCGTATAAAATTTCGCATATTTGACTTCCGTGGCCAGATTAAGGAATTCCCTTCTCCTGGCTTCCTTTTCAATCCGAAACATCAATTTATTAGTAAAGGGTTTCCTTGGTTGTCTGACCAAACTTTATCTAGAAAAACGCTATAAAATTTTGAACCCGAATTCTATCAAATTCAGAAACTCTTGCTTTGCTCGTTACTTTTATCTGAAACATCCTTAACTTGTTTCCGTGGTGGTCTTACTTTGATAAACAAGCCGATAAAATTATGATCAAGGCAGGTGTAGAGAAAATTCAGCAATTCTCCTTCTCTTGGCTACGTTTTTAACTTTAAACTTCCATTTTCAAAATACATCTTTCTTCACCAGCCCCTCAAAATCGACGCGTCTATAGGCACTTTCGTACAAAAACGTCTATGGGACGCGGGCGTTGAGAAGAGGATCGGATACGCCTAATCAGGCTCACTCCCCCCTTCCCCTCGCTCGCCCCGGTGACCTGGTTTTTGTGATCGGCCAAAGGAGACGGCCGCCCGCCTAACCCGGTCTCGAAACATTCCTTTTTACGGCTCATCGTTTTTTGTAGCACCCCCTGCGCGTCGCCGGATCGGCCGGAATTTGGTGCGAATGAAAAGGGGAGAAAGGTAGCAGCCAAAGCTTTTGAAAACGGGAATTTTTTTAAAAGTTTTTTTCAAAAAATATTATTGCCCTCGAGCTTTACGGGTTATAATAATTGTTTCTCTAGCAGTAGGCCATGAAAATTTTCCCATTGTGAAGTAAATACAAGCCAAATAGCGATAAATGAATAGGCGGAATTTTAAGTAGACCTAGTTTATTTGTAAAACCTCATATTTAAAGGACATGGACATTATAGTTTGTGGTTTAAGGTAAAGTGAAATAAGTAATTTCACTAACTGAAATTGCACCTAAAGCTTAGTTTTACGGACGCGAAATTATAAATGTTTCATGCCAGTCGTGTTAGCAAAAATTCAGGGCCTAGCCAATCGGCGTCGTAAACGCTGTGGAATATTTAGCTTTTGGGATTGTTTGCGGTAATTAATTTTATTTAAAAACTGAAATCTAAAATATAGATCACTTTAAAAAATAAATCCTGCGTTTTCAGCTAATTCAGCTAATTAGAAGCCAATTCAGGCTTGCTGAATGAGCTAAACGGACCGATAAAAGTTTTCCAAAAAAATGTTCCAAGAAAATGTCATCTTAATTTTTACTAAACTGCTCAAGTTATTCGAAATGTCCACGCGTCAAAAATTAACTTTATTTTAAAACGAATCAGCTCTATTTTCATAACCCGGATGGTTTCAATTTTTCCATAATGATTGATGCAAATACCGTTCCAGGGCTGACAATCATCGATTTTTTTTGTGCGAAAAACTGGATATTAACCCTTAATACAATGTGAGTAAAATAATAGAAATAATTTCGTGCATTTAAAACATACCGTATGGATAGGATACGCATTCGGAATCACGCATGTAGTACCGCAAAACGAACTGGGATCTCGTCTGCGAGGCGCCGTCCCTGAAATAAGGTAATTTACCACATCAAACTTGTTTTAAGGCTCGTCTAAATAAGTCATCAACTATAAGAATTCAGTAGTGGTGTCTGTCCGTCTGTCCGAAGCCAACTATAACTCGAAGGGGAAAGGAGGTAGAGCTTAGGTCTCTTCGGATTTGGATAGAGCGTAGTCAGAAACCCCTTAAATGAGCAAAAAATTATGAAAAAGTTTTTGTTTAAATAAAAATAATTAACTTGGAAAGTGGCGCCTTAATAAAACGAGTGGGGCCCCTCTCCCCGGGAGGCCACGCCCCCTTTCTCTTCGCCCCTCTTCCCCCAAGGCCCTTCCCGCGCCCAGATCGCTTTTTTCAGTTGTTTTAATACTTTTTAATTATCTTAATTCATTATTTAAATCCTTTAAAGTATCTAAGGCCATCACAAAGGGAGGGGGAGGGAGCGGAAGGGGTAGCCCGAAGTCCAGCCGCTTGCAGCGGCAAAGCCGCTGTAAGCGGCTGGTATTCATTAAAGGGATGCCGACGGCATAGTCAATCGGTTACGCGCTGGAAAGAAAATGTCTCTGCGCCTCTCCCCAGGGCGCGCTCTCTCCCCTGTTGGCTACTTGCCAATTTGTTGATGGGGGCTGGGATCGACACATGCCGTCGGCAGACCTTTAATGTGTATGTGAAAGGACCGTAGAATACAAAATTTGAAAAATTTTGAACAAAAGCAAGTTTTAAAAATTCTTTCTTACTTTGAGGGGGCATCGGCCTCGGAAGGGTTGCCGCTTGCAGGGGTCAACATCTAAAAAATCGGAATTGTGTTGATTTGTTTTTCCCGTTCGTTATCTTAGAGTAAAAATAAGACGTTCTATCTGATAAATATATTTTAATCCATTTTTGAAAAACAATGTTTTGCAAAAAAAGCACTTTTACTAGAATAAGTTTTCGGGAATCCATGTTTGATGCATATTCATTACCATTATCATGTTCAAAATTTTGGAAGTGTTGATATTTAACTGTATATTTCATTCCTTTAAAAAAGTGCCACTCGGATGTGATGATGATGCATTATAAAAGAAAAAGATGTTTTCATTAATTTTCCAAAAAAAATGCTTCGGATAAAATATAGCTTTGCCTGAATAAGTTTCGTGTAATGAATTCCATTATTTTTGGGCGCTTTCATTATTTTAAAATAAAGTTCAGCATCATAAAATTTTTATCGATTTTGCTGAAAACTATTTTTGAAAAATGTTTCCAAAACAATCTTTACGCTGAATACGGATTCGCCCGAAAAACCTGCAATAATTGGCGAGCTGTCCTTGTTTCTTGAATAATTCGAAAGTCTTTAAGCGCGTAACCCCCTTTATTTTTTTATAATCCCTTTTAATAGCTTAACCCTTACCACTTGATAGTGCGGGGACGGCGATGGCAGCCGCCACCAGCAGCGCCAATATGCGCATCGTGCGCGACCCTGCAAATAAGCGAATAATATTTTTTTGATGTTTACAGCAATTTAAAAGAACACATAAATATGAAACCGAAATGGCGCTAGGATTAGGGCTTTTGACTAACGCTAGAAAAGGCTGATAACCGAAACACATTTTTTTCTGTATCGCCGAAGCAAAATTTCGAAAGAAAAGACATTGATGCCTTTTATCGTATAACTGACGACTTTATGTTTATAATAGTTGAGCGCAGAAACAATAATGTTTGGTTTGAAATTTAATGCTTCTGGTCCGAAATCGGCTCAACGAAAATTATTTGTATTCATACCGTCCTCCTTTGCAGGCGCGGCTTAAAAACAAAAAATAATAAATAAATCAACAAATAAAGCCTATAAAACAAATAAACTAAAGACCGAAAAACATTTAATCTCCGACAAAAAGAACACAATATCAAAATTTTAATTTTTACTTTTTTGCATTTTACAAAACTCAATGGATAATTAAAAGTATTTATACTCAAATTTGGGCTTATAATTAAAAACCAAAACAACAAAGTATTGAAACGAATTTGGCAAAATATGCCGAGTATCCTAGGCGAAGGCTACCGGTTTGGCTATCCAGTTTTCTCGAGGCAGACAGGGAGTCTCGACCGGGCAAAACTATGTTATGCAAATAGAGGGGATTCCAGTCTAGGCAGATAGATATTAGTTACATGGTACTAAAAAATCGCTAAAAATATAAAAAAGTGAACCGATTCTAGAATTAGCATGGATTAATCTGTTAAAGGGACACCGACGGCATAGACCCCCGGTTACGCGCTGAAAAGAAAATGGCTCTGCGCCTCTCCCCTGGGCGCGCTCTCTCCCCTGTTGGCTAGTTGCCAATTTGTTGATGAGGGGGGATCGACACATGCCGTCGGCAGTCCTTTAAAATTTGTGAAATTTACTGGATAAAACACGATGTTTCGTATATGTTGAGGCTGTGCACGGAACTCGCATCGTTAATTGCTTGGGCATAAACGCCAGTAAATAAAATGAATAATTTCACGATTAGTATACATTAAAAATTATCTTGGCCAAATATACCTAAAATAAAAACCGGAAGGAATACTGTTGCGAGGAATGAAAGAAATGAGGACACGAAGGACTTATTAATTTAAGTTATTAACTTAAATTAAAAAGGTTAAAAGATGTGTTTCAAGAAATTAGAAATAAATGGATAAATGCGGGAATTTCAATCAAACCGTGGCTGCTGGCCCCTATTTCCCCTTGATTTACATTGCAGCAATATTTTTTACCAATAAAAAATACCGCCATACACTTTATTTAAGGACTATGAATCGCAGGTTCCGTTTCGATAGCCACAGTCTGGGCGATCTTATTAAAATGTCTATCTCACGATGAACTTATACATACTGAAAAAGAATAGATAAATAACAAACTTAAATATATGTCTTTTATTCAAATTTATTGCTATCCAAAAATTCGTATAAAATGTGTGTTTCGACGAATTATTACGCGGCGGAGCAAAAGTTTACGCTAATCGGTTTTTCTATAGAAGTAGAAATAAAAGTAGAATGTGTCGCGGGGCACATCCTACTGACAAAAATACCGCAGAAATTCTGGTTTAAATAAAATGTAAACAACTTCAATAATTTTTTAATAGTATTTAAATACACTTATCATAATAAACTTTTGCAGTACGCTCCAATACTTTGCTGAAATCAAGAGTAAATCGCCACAAAATAAGCGGAATTAAATTTAAAATCCAAATTAAAATTGAGATTATAAATTAAACAAAACTAAATGAAATCCAATTCTAGAAATTAATAACGCGGTTTTACTTAAGAAACAATTATAGCGTTTTAAGAATTTAATAAATGGTATTTTTCGTTTTCAAAACGAGTTTTGGGTCTCGAGGGGATTCAGCTAGTGTGGCAAGCATGGGACGACTGGTTTTTGCCTCTTCGCCCTTGGTAGTGATGATAATAAGTGGATAGGAGGGGATTGGGACGAGACTACGCGACAATACGCATCCACCATTTCGTTAATGGACCCGCGCGCGGACTTGCCGAAGCCACTTTCCAAATGCTAAATTTTTAAGAGCCGGGTGCAGCTTAGCGAAATCGTTGGTGGGTGCAGCGGAGTGGGTGGGAAATGGAATTTTTGGATTTTTTAAAATTCTGATAAAAAATGAGTAAATTAAGGGTCATTAAACAACGTTTTCTCTTGAAAGAAAAATGTATGGATGAAGATCCAATGAATGAAAATCCAAAAATGAACGAAACAATCCGCATTGGCCTGCCGCATCGGCAGTTAAGTAGGCGCCAACATGAAACATAATCTTTCAAAAAAATTTCCGAAGGTTAAATCTTTAAGAGCGGGGCGACTTACCGAAGTCGCCTGTTAGAGCTTGTGGGAAATGAGGTCTGAAAATTACAAAAAAATTCAAACAAAAAATATCAATAACAAAAAAAACAAAAAAATTTGGAAAGTAGAAAATAACGGTTGTTAAGCAACGTTTGTATTAATTAGACAGTTTACTCGACTTTTGCCAACACCCAATAAACCGTCAGCATCCGTGTCGCGATCCCGCGACTGCATGCGCATGCTGAATGACCGGAAGTCCAAGCGAATAACCATCCCTTCCCCTCATTACCATGCTGATTTCCCTGTGTTCCCTCGTATATAAAGTCCCCCTTTCTCGTTGTGATTGCTTCAGTCATCCGATCCGAACCCGGCTTCTCCAGTCCTCATTTACTTCAACGAGGTGTCACCCCACCGGGGACATGCTCCGAATAAATGCTGTGACCCTTCATGTCTGCTCTCCCACGCTATCGAGACAATCCGCAATTAACTAGCCACAAACAGGCAACACACATTTTCAAAAAAGCACAAACGCACTGGATTTTCCAAATCCTCATTTTTTTCAGTGTTTCGTCTAGCTTCTCGGGATTTCGGGATGGTGGGAGTATGAAATCCCTTTTTATCTAAACGGTAAAAACGAAAAATGAAAACTTTTAGTCCTAAAAAATGGCGCCCCAAAATCGGCGTTTCTAACGATGAAAAGGTTAACAGAAAATTTGCTTGTATAATAGGAAATTGACATTTCTAAAAATGTGTTGCAATACTTTGGTACCAGAAGGGAACATAATTCCGGTAATTAGAGGTGTGCTGTCCTTGTTTCAATAACCCATTTTACGCAAGTAAAAGTCAAGTTCTTTACAAAATTTGCGTAAATGGTTCTTTTCGAAAAGCATGGTTTGGGGGGGGCAGAAGGAACAGTGGAGTAGTGGCCGTATCTCTCTCTCTCTCTCTCTCTCTCTCTCTCTCTCCCTACCGGTTCCACAACGGCTTTAGGAGGTATAAGCGAGAGTTAGAGAGAGAGAGAGAGAGCGAGGGAGAGAGCGAGAGAGAGAGATGGACTTATGGAGAGAGAACAGTGCTGAGATATTGCTATGCATATGTGAACGGGGGTAGGAGGGGGATTCGGGGCACAAGAACTGGTATTTGTATCCCCGGCTGCCAAACCTGCAGTTTTGTTTATGATTATTTCAGAACCTAATAATCTTATTTTTCCTAGCATGGATTTTTTTAACCGCTCGAGGAATTATTGTTCTACAGCATTTACAATATACAGATGAAATTTTACAGCTCCTGAACATTATTGAAGTTGAAGCATCAAAATCCATGTCACTTTTCGCAAAAGTTTGTTTCAAAATCTGGCAAAATTAGCCTATTTAAAACGGTCATAGTATAAACGCTCAAACCGTGTAACCTCAAAGTTTTCATTGGGTTAATTAAATTCGGGAATTTAGCAATGCGACAATTTAGATAAGCTGATAATTCGAGTGAAATTGGAAGGCAAATCATCGGCATTAGAGGCTATTTTCGGTATTTAATTGAAAACGCGAATTTGAAAAGTTAGATATTCCTTTTGCTGGATAATGTTTCAACCCTAAAAATATTTCAGAATTTAAGCGATGCGATAATTCATGCATCCATAATAATCCTTATAGTATTTCTAAAATAGTTTTTTTCAACTATTTTTAAATAAATTTTAAATTAATTCAAATATATTCAGCCGTAATTACCTATAAAATGTCTTAATAAAGAAAACAAAATAAAGTTTAAGGGATTTTACAGACTCTTTAAGAATTCATAGATTCATGGAAATCGTCGCTGCCACGCTCCTTTAAAAAAGAAGGCCGGTCTGTGCACTTCATTTACCCCGAACACCTCCCCTACAAAAGCGAGTGAGGGAGAGAGAAGGAGAGCGAGAGAGAGAGAGAGAGAGAGAGAGAGAGAGAACGCCGGCCGTCTGGCCTATTGTGTCGCTTTTGTAAAGGGGCTACCAG